GGGGGGGGGGCACATTCCCTGGCGGAATTTTTGCCGCTTGACGTTCGTGAATCGCGTTTGATTGGTGATCGCGACTCAGCATACGACTCATACTACTTGAGACTTGTCGAGGCCTTTGAAACCAGCAGCAGCAGGTGGCTGCAGATGCTGCTGCGCACTGAACACGAATCACGAATCACGAATCACGAATGCTCCGCGACGTGCCTGTAGCTCAGCAGATCTGCTGCTTGGTTAGCTTCCCCGCGTTTGGACGCTGCAGCTCTTGCTGCAGGGAGAGGCACATGAGCGCACGTGAATGATGCTGCTTGACCGCAATCTTGAATCTCCATGGCCGAACTCCGGGTTCCACAGGTGAAGCAGAGAGGAGGTCACGGCCAAGAGTGCTGTGGGATGGTGCCAACCGGCGGATATTGGCACATTCGTGATTGCCTGCAGGCTTGTGCCCAATCCTGTGTCTAGACAACTATGCGCGTCTCTACATATCTCGTCTGGCATTCGTGATTGCTGGGCGAGCAGCACAGCAGATCTGCCCTGCTAAGTTCAGAGGTCGAAATCACCCACGGCGAAAGGCACTTAGTCTCGCCCGGAAGCGAGCAGAGAAGGTCTTCGGTGCGGTTTAAGACAGCGAGCGGCATTTCGAAATCCTCACTCGGCAATAATGAAGCATCGCGGCTTTTTTGTGAAAGACTTTGTATTGGTGCGCAAAGGTAATTCATACAGCTTGCTGGAGGCCCTTGGACTCATCTCCATCTTGCCCGCCGTTTGCTGTACGCCCCTCTGCGCCACCAGGCCAATGCATAGCGTCGATGGACTCTGCAAACTTGCTGTGATGTCTGAGCCAAGGACCCTTGTACCAAAGCACAAAGGTGACTGACGGTGAGGTCAGGTCGAAGGTCTGGTCAGCAATCACGCAGTCAGCCATCACGATGTAGAGAGAAGAGCGCGCTCACTCGGGATAAGAGCCAGACTAAGAAATGCCAGAAGAGAGCTGGCCCATTCGTAGCCGAGTTTGCTGTACATCTGTCTGGCAAACAGCGGAAAACCTGCGCCAGCCAAATTGCGGATCAGACCGACACCGGCGAGAGCGGATGCCGAGAAGGTGCCGTAGCTAAGACGAGGGAGGGAGGATGTAGATTTTGAGCTCTGCTCTCGAATCGGTGGCGCGTGTTCCAAGTGCAACTCACGAGTCTACGACGTATTGATACGAGGCCATGATGAGCGCGTAGAACGCCCAGCCCCACAAGGCAGAAGCAATGACGCTTGCGAGGATGATGAAAGTGTCAAAATTGCAGCCCCTTTCGACGCTACAGCGAAGGGCACTCACGGAACGATAAAGTGTACGGAAGGGAAGCTGGTCCACGCGAACCAGAAAAGCGCCATAGGCTGAGCTATGGACGCAAAGATTGCCAGCATGACTCTAGCTTCCGGGACCGGCTGGCCCTTCTGATTATATCTCTTCTGATAGAAACTTTCGCCGAAGAGGTTGATGAGAGGCCCACAAGAGATGCCGACCACCAAGCCTAGGAAGACCAGACCGATTGAAATTGTACCGAATCCGTGACTGCCCTCAAAGACCTGAGAGATGGCAGTGTTGAACATATACACAAGTCCGTACAAGTAGCCATTAAAGAAAGAGGCAAAGCTGAGAGGCACCCAGGCATTGGGCATTAGTGTGCTTCAACCAATCTGCAACCAACACCACACGTGGACTCACATGACGATGGGTTCGGTAGCCAGGAACCGGAAGGGTCGAGTCATTGTGACCTGCAGCAGTTGCCGAACGCCTGACCGCTCGTATCCAGGTGGGACATCGATGCGGCCGGAGTGTGATGGCATTCCCGGTTCGCAATCTATACGTTTCTTCTGGTTGCTGACTTTCCTGGCGAGCAGCACATCATGTCTACTCTCGCCACACCAAAGCATGACGAGAGTCATGATGAGCCATAGCCCACCGCTGATACCCAGCATTGCCCAGAACACGTCCCTCCAGCCCCTCGTCGCGGCGACAAATGAAAAGAGGAAGTAGCCGCTGGGAGAACCGCACGTTGCAGCCCAAATGTAGATGGACATGGCGTAGCCTGTCTGACGAGGCGGAAAGAGATCTGCCACTGTACCGCCTAGGGTGGCAATGGTGACTGAAGAGAAGGCACCGCCAAGGAAGCGAAACGCAAGAAAGGCACCGAGATTGGGAGACAGGGCTGTGCCCAGAATCCAGAGCAGGTAGATGCCGTACCCGCCAATGTAGACGACTGACCGACCAAAGTACTGTTGAGAAGGACGAGGAAGCGTGCATGCGTTGAGTGACCCATCCGCGATTGGTACCGCCGCTTCGCTCCATGAGAAATGAGCAAGGATCACGAAGGCTCACCTCAGAGACAGGAGCTTGTATCATTGGCCCCAAGGCCAATCCACCAACATACGTACTCAGCCCAAGCGTGCCCACCTCGGAGGATACGCCAAGGTCCTTTGCGAATTTCATTTGAGCTGGGGAGTATCCTGAAGCGCCCCATGACACGGACAAGTCCACGAGGTAGATTGGGACGAGCAGAAGCCATTTCTTGGAAAGGTCGACGGCGCAGGTATCAAACGTCCGATCAGTCAACTTGCCTTACGAGGCGGCTACATCATCTCTGACTTTGTATCAACGCCAGCAATGTGCCTCACCTTCCATTCTGGCCAGTCTCGCGGAGACTCTCCTGGGTCAAAGTGGATGTAGGTGACCTTATCATCTGTCACGCCCTCAGAGCTGAAGTCTTTCGCTGGTGTTTTGTCCGTCCTCTTCTCGCTGTTGTTGCTAAGCAGGACGTTGCCCAATTCCCTTGCAGACAGATTTGACATTGTGCATCGAAGTGACAGACGGGATGATTGGGGGTCGTGAAGGTGAGAAGACTTGTTCAAGGGACGATCGCGTGAAGGCGAATCTTCCTACACGGTGTACGTGTGTACGTGTGGACACTCTCGTTGCCTGGACAGAAGATATCCAGTCACTGCACTACTACGACTAGCCTCTGGCATCCGGAATGTCCGAGGTTTCGGCGATATTGCCTCGATACAGACTTCAGCGACTCTCTATGTACATCATCAGCTGGAAGGTGCGGATTTGATTCGTGATTGGTGCACCCGATCATGCACGATGCAGAAGGCAGATAGAGATTCGACTGGCCAGAGCATGGGCTTGCTCCGAGAGGCGTATCCTTTGACTTTACTTTTGACTGTGTGGAGTCCGTTCGGGAGTGTCCGAGAAGATAAGATTCAAACTTCAAATCCTGTCGTGTTGATGAGGCGTAGGCAGCGCGAGAGCAGAAGAGACTTTTCCCCATGCGGGATCTTCTTAGGCACCTATAGAGAGGTCCGATGCTCGATCAGCTTGCGCGTCATCATGCTAGCGGCGAGCATCAAGGTCACGCACCTGCAGCGTAGCGGAGCTGCAGCAGGCTGTTGGTGGTGTGTGGTGGAGGCTACCTACATGCTCACGCACGCGAGGCCGTCTGCAATTGTGAATTGCGTCTCATACACGCCACTTGAGACTCACGACTGCCGTCGACATAAGCTTTGATCGTCCACCTTTCGGACGCCGTCCGCACCGCGCGCAATCACGAATGCTGACACCTCAAAGCTGCGTGTATCACTTCAGTCGCGGGTGCGATCATCAGTCTTGTAGGTAGCTGACTGCTGCATGGTGTGCGCCCGTATCTCGTCACTTCCATTTCACATTCGTGGTCATGTGCGGCCGCTTTCCCAATGCTCTGGACGCGAACAGACACGCTGCCGCTATCAACGACTGGCTAAGCAGGGCTCATCGTGGAGTCAGACCATCTCATGGCACGAGGCACGAGCGGCGTGAGGAGCAAGGAGGCGGTGGGCATGGGTGCGGTCCGTCTGACGACGGGCATGGTGGTGCAGATGGAGCAGAGGGTGCAGAGTCAGCTGAGCCAGATCAAGAGCCGCCTTTCGTCACCGCATCACCTGGATTAGATAGGGGCTATCATCCTACTACCAATGTAGCACCCACTGCCTTTTCTCCAGTGCTGTATAGGCTAGGCGCAGCGCGCCAAGGCAAACAGTCAGATGACACCTTGCTGCTCGAGCCGATGAGGTGGGGCTTGCTACCACCCTCCACCAAGGTCATCCCCAAGGGCCAAGACATGATCCGCACCATCAATGCGCGTGCAGACACCATTCTTTCCGGTCGGGGTCTGTGGAATTCACCGTTCACAAAAGGCAAGAGATGCGTCGTGTGGACACAAGGCTTCTACGAATGGCTGGCCACTCCTCAAGCTAGATTACCTCATCTCATTGGGATGCCCAACCATGGCCTTGGCAGGACGGCGGCTGATGGCAAGGAGAGGGAAATGATGCCTATGGCAGGACTGTGGGAAGAATGCACTTTGGATGATGGGACCAAAGTGAAGAGCTTCGCCATATGCACTACGGAGATCAACAAGCAGCTTGAATGGCTTGTGAGTATTGAATGGCAGACGTACGGTCAGCAGGCCAGAGCGTCCTTGTATCACTGATCCGCTCGCGTGCCGTCTACAGCATACACGCATGCCAGTCATCCTCCCAGACCTCAGGGCCATGCAAGTTTGGCTCGGAACAGTCGAAGCGCCTCTTTCTCATGTGGCAGCTCTCATGCGGCCTTACCCAGGAGACCTCGAGTGTTACAGAGTCCCTCAAGAGGTTGGAAAGACGGGAACCGATGATGCAAAGTTTCTTCTACCCATCGAGCAGCGCAAAGATGGGATCGCGCGAGCCTTCGGCCGCTTGATGAAGAGGGACGCAGAGGAAGATGGGGGCGCTTCGGAGCAGCAGCACAGGGCACAATTGAAGAAGGTCAAGAAGGAAGAGGACAGGGAGATCAAGACCGAAGCCGAGAAATCTGGATCTTCAGCGCCGAGACACGAAGACGCAATTAAGCGCGAGCGCGAGGTGTGCGCAGGTGGAACACTAGCCATGAAAGAGGAGGAGGAAAAGGATTCGATCCTTCGAGCGACTGAGCAGGTCGAAAGGGATGCACAAGATGCCGAAATAACCTGGCAGGAGGAGCATAAGGTTGATGCTGGAAATATCAAGCGCGATCCTTCGGAGTCAGATCAGGATCAAATCAAAGCTGATAGAAAGTTTGCTGAAGAGCTGCAGAGGTCAGAGGGACCTTCGACCGCGAACGATGAGGCCAAGTCCGAGCCACCGCACGTGCTTGATCAGCATCGAGGCTTGTCCGACTCTGAGCCTTCGGCCGGAAAGCCCGCACGCAGCTCCAAATTCTCACCTGAGCCTTGGAACCCACCCTCTTCTACCTTTGGGTCATTCGATACAAGACCTAGTGGGAACGGCAAGACAAGTCAAGCTTCGCCCACTGGCCCCACCAGGCTGGAAAATATGCTCTCTGCTCAGAGATCCGCCGCCCACTCTCGACCCGGTGTTCCCATCTCGCCCAAGTCGAACGGAGCTTCGCGAGACAGTCCGATGAAGGGGCAAGCAGGATCGCCGAAGAGCAAAGCTAAAGATGGAGCGGCCAAGGGCGCACCAGATATTCGGAGTTTCTTCAAGCAGTAACGCGTTCTCTGCCCTCTTTGCTCTCACCGCCTTCTTGCCCTGCCTTGACTGTATCACTACCGATCACGCTTGCCATCACTTGTGTCCAATTAGCATCATCATTGAGTCCGTCTATACAGGTGACATTCTTGAAGACGTAGATCAGAGAATAGGAGGGGTGGACCCTGGCATGGTTCGTAAAGGTCGATCGGAAGGTGGGTACAGTGCATAGGCCCTGTTGTTCTCCAAAAACTCGCTCCTCTCGTCCACTCCTTGCAGCCTAGCCAAAATCCTCGATCTGTTCCACCACGATTTTGTCTTTCTTGTAGGAACGTCGCCCGCTAGCTCTGCTAGCAGCCGCTCTTGAGTGTCCCTTGAAGGAGCATCCCCCCCAGGTTGTTTGCTGTTCTTGATGGATTCGATCAGGCGCTGAATGAATCTCGAATTCTTGCGGACATCGATGCCGAGACCATTCTCGTCTCGCACCCAAGACATTACTTCGACAGCGCCTTGAGGGTCGTGTAGCTTCAAGTATACGTTGATAATGTTCCTGTACGCTTTGAAGTCCTCCAAGAGATTTGGCGAATCTCGAGCGCTCGTGTCGCCAGCTTCGTGCAGGCTTCTCAGCAGACGTTGATTCGGCGGTGTAGGCGCCCACCGCAGTAGGGCTACAACGCGATCCAGAGCAGCTCTCAAAAGTCTTCTGCGTTCCTGTTGAAGGTATCTCGAGGTTGTTTCTGCCAATTTGGAAAAAGCGTGGTTCGCAGCGCTACCAATAGCGCGAACAACAAGGGTAGCCATTTCGACGTCCATCAGGCGATGTGTGGCGGCGATGTGTAGAAGCTGCTCGGCAGCCATGGCATTGGCTCCTGCTGGCTCGCGCTGTCGTTCTCTCGGTTGATTGTTGCCCGGACTAGATCTATGAAGGCCACCCGCAGGGATTGTAGCCGTCCTTTGAACCAGAGCAGCGACGGTTCTCCGATTCGGACGCCATCCGACATTGATGGCGTGTTGAACGAGACGAGGCAGTTGATTGAGCGATGTCCGATTTCCCGTATCTTGGTGCTCAGTAGATGCCAGCAGTAGCTTGACCTCACAGACGGCTTGCACGGACAAGTGTGGCTCAATGCCATTTGCCTGAGCTTTTTTCACTAAGTCTGCGGCGAGATCCGGTCGAACTTGCTCGACGATCTGAGTCAAGACTGCTTCGTAGGCGTGTAAGCTAGGCTGACCACCCAAGACGATGTTCTCGCCGACAAGTTGCTTGCGCTCCAAATCAGTGAGGTGCATCGCATCAGGTCGCGCGATAGTTTTTTGAAGCAGCGCACAGGCATAGTCCAAGTCTAGCATGGCCAGGTTCCCGATAATGGCTGCCAAGTCGTAGGAGCTCGGCGTTTCATCGCGGTGCAAGATAGACCTAAAGGCAGCTAGAGCATTCTTACGGTCCCCAACGCGAAAGCTTGCATCTCCCAAGGCTGTCAAGTCCCGATGTCCTAGCGTTTCGCGTCGATTTGCACCTCGAAATCTCCCAATGATAGTCTTGGCAAGCGCGAGCCGCTCTATGCCTGCGATGTCGTCTTCACTCGTCTCGTGTAATGTGTGGTCCGTCAAAGCCTTGACCATGGCGGACATGCAGCTAGAGCTTCTTGACACGGCACTCTGGTCTTGCTTGAGCGCCTCGTACTTCTGGCCCTGAAAGTATTCGTCCAGAACAGGACCGTCGCCCGCCCAGCGATGCCAGAACCTCTGAAGCACTTCCAGCTTTCTCGCGGCGGAGATTAGCTTGAGAACAGCGACCTGTTGAAGCTCGCTGAGGTGGGACATCACAAAGTCATCATCAAGCGCGTCCCAGAATCCCATGGTGCGACCCAAGCGGTCGATGACGAACTTCCTACCCAGCAGGCGAGAGTTGACAACAGAGAGAAAGTCAATGACCATGTGGAAAGGTATGCGTGGTGGTCCGAGCGTGTTACCTCGTAGATGCATCAGCTTCCGAACGATTCTTTCGAGCGCGGCATCGCTCAGCGTGGTTGCGTCTTCCAAAAGGGTGGGTAGCCAGTCTTGGTGAGCGCCTTGCGATACCAGGTACGTCTGGCTGGCCGTGGTGCCCCAGGCAACGGCGGGTAGATTGCCGAAAGACAGGCGAGAAAGCTGTTGGAGCGTGCTGCAAGCCGCCTCGGGGCCAAATTGAGCAAGCCTGATGCTTACGATCCTATCGGCAAGGTATTTGAAGACCACAGACTGGTCCTTTCGCACTACTCTGCCACACCATTTCGAGAAGGTGAAGAGGGTTTTGATGGCAGCGTCTGGCTTGCCGAGCGAAATGTTTAGGCGTACGAGGAACGAGTGCATCGTCGCTTCAAAGCGAGCCTCGGAAGCGCTTTCGGCGCGCTGCTCTACTATCATAGAAGCGTCGTCATGAGCAGAAGTTTCGCTTGAGGTGTTGCCTTCCGCAGCGGAATCAGCAACCATTGATAGCGGGGACCCTATCACAGGCGCAGGAAAGTCTCCGCTCTCCTCCTCTTCCTCGTTCTGTGTTGCACTGCGAGATGACTGGCGTATAAATCTGTCACCGTCCACGCTGGCAAGTCGAAGAGCGTGATTAAGGTCTATCGGGCCCTCGTCGACAGCTCTGATGATAGAGATGCACGCGTCCCTGCGAGAGCAATACACCACCTTTCCATCTCGAAATGTTGGCGTTAGAAGTGTCGATGGGTCCATGCCAGCGAAGAAAGAGGTCAACGAGCAGACAGCTTCGGCAGACAACCAACTATTGAGCTTCCAAGGCGTTCCTGCTGCGGCGGTTGTTTGGCCGCCCAGGTCGTGGCCGCATGCGCGATGCACAAGTAGCGATACGATCTCGGCAAGCTCAGGTGCGTGTGTCTCGGCGAGCCCTACTGCGAGACGCAGAGCTGAGGCTGCCTCGTATACTTCTGGCAGCTGATGAGCAAAGACACCGTCCGGACGCTTGCCAAGGAGGGTCTCGAATGTCTGAGCTATGAGTGCTGGCTGCAGGAAAGAGGAGAGCAGCTGGCCCTCGGCTCCAGCAGCGGAAGAGACGAGACCCTTCGTGTCTGCTTGGGCCGCGAGATCTTGAAGACCTTTGAGCAAGCCGGTCAGACCTGCTGCTGTTCGGAGAGAAGAGCCTGCTGCGATACTCGGTGAGGAGAGGTCGACGGAGTGCCGACTCATCGCGTCGAGTAGTGCGACGGTGACAGAAGCGAGGCGCTGATGCGTCGCGGACCTGAAAAGCTCTTCGATTTGCTGCTCAGAATAGGAAGCCATAAATTCGGATCCGTGCTCGCGATGCTGCAAGAAGTCGGATATAGGATCGGTAAACGAGCTTTCCCCAAGAGAGGCCAGCATCTGGGTGTTCGTGGCATCGTCATGTTGGAGCTCGGACTGATGCCTACGATTGAGCTCTGACTCAAGCGAGTGTGGCGCAACCGCATACCCGCGGATCCGAAAGTTTGGCCTCTCGTGTGCGACGTGGGCCATGCCAGAATGGACGACGCTGTTGCGTGCTGAACGCGTGCTACTGAGGAAGCATGGCCTACAACCACTCACGGCCAACCCACGGGCGTATGCTGGCGCCCGGGGTGGTGCGGAGTGGCTAACAGACTTGGCCATTGCCGTTATTGTAAAGTTTTGAATCATAGCGTCGTTGCTGGTTGATTTTGACTTGCCATCCAAGTGATCAAGGTGGCGGTTCCATGCGTCGAAGTCTCGGCCTAGCTGTCGTCGGCGACGTCATTGCTCATTCCGTGAACGGCGCGATAACAGTTAAAAGGTTGGGCAAGTTGGCGTGAAAGAATTATGTCGACCTTCCCTTCACCTCCAGCAAGCGATCGAAATGGGGACAAACAGCGGCTATGGTAGAAAACCACCAACGTCGCCAACGCTTGTCGGCGCCCATCTGTATCACGAAGGACTTCCAGGGAAAACGATCAATTGGCTAAGAAAATCGCACGCAGATCGCTGCGCAGGTGGAGGAGAGGAGGTCTTCTCGTACGAGAGGCATTCAGATTGGCGGGCGAGTCACCGACTCTATCAAAATCACGACTAAACCCAAATTAAATGACTTGAATGACTTGGGTGACTGCGAGTGAGCCGCATGAAGCAGTCGTCTGTCCTGCTGCAGGCCCCGCTCCGCCACGGTCGCGTGCGGCCAAAACAACAATAAGATCGGCAAGCTGTTGAAGAGCGCGCGCGCGTGCGGGTCACAGTCACGCGTGTAGTCTCGGTGAGCACGCTCTTTCTTCACTCACTGACGACCGACTCGAGCACACTCCCCGATGTCTCCTCTCCTCATACCCCAATTTCGATTTTCTCTACACCTCACAAGTCACCATCATCATAGCAGTCGGCTCTACTCTTCATAGTCATGCTCCTCTAGGCTCATAGATCATTCGTTATCTCCTTGCATTTGCATTGGATCTAAGACTGGCGGGCTCTTGAACGATAGCCACCGCCCGTCGACGTTTTGCTTGCACACAAATTATCAAATAGTGGCATACGCAAAGAACACCAAAGAAGGTTTGCTCGCAATTGCTACAGGTGTACCAAGAGGACGAGAGTGAGGGCGAGAGCGAGGGCGATCTCGCGAAACCTCGCGTCGCAATGCCGGCGGCGACAGAAGTAGGACAGGTCTCCCCTCGGAAGGAAGCGCATACGGTGGCGTGTCCGTGTCTCAATGTTCAAGTCACCTTCGCTAGGATAATAAATGCAGAAGATGAAGTTCAAAAGGGGAGCGCGGGGAAATCGGCTTCTGACAGAATCGCTTTGGGAGAGCCTCTCCAAGTTGAGGCGGTCAAGGATGGCGTCAAAGCTGTAAGTCTTTGCACTGCCCCTCTTGTTCGGGAACTCCTCCTTGGGTTTTTTATCAGCCAGACTGAAATCCTTTCTCGCAACCTTCACTCTGATGGCTAGACCTTCCCTTTGCTTACTGCAAGAGAAACACTGAGGCCCCTGCAGCAGCTCGCGGAGCCGCAGATGAACGGGGTCGCTGGAGCATCTTTACGCTGCATTAACTGCGGTATCCTGGTCTACACCGTCGAAGACCCTGTGCCCTCAACAGCATCACGCGTGCTCGGCTTCAGATCTGCGTCGGAACTGACTGATGACAGTCATGAGTCGAGCTTTAAGGCCGAGCGCTCGCGATCGCCCGACGCAACACCTTCCACTCCCACTCGTGTTCGCACGGCTGGCAGGATCCTCGAGCCTCTCCCACTTCCTAGAGACGGCATCATTACCCTGCAATTTGGCCTGCTTATGGGTGATGAGCTGTTGGTTGCTCAGCGCTCCCCATCTTTCTCTTCCGCTTTCAACATTTTGGTGGGCGAAGCATCTCGCACTCGTGGCGAGACTGTTACTGCTTCCTCAAACCCCAGTGCAGATGCTAGAACGCCCGAAGTGGAACTGGGCAGCCAAGTAGGAATCAGCTCCACCACGTCAAGGCCATCCTTACAAAGTCGACGCACCCTGTCAAACAGCGGCGGTCTATCTTTCACGTTGCCGCCCTTGCCGAGCCGAATCTTACCACCTCCGCCTTCAGGTGGCGCCCCGGCTTCCCCAGCTCAAGATCCTCGGACGCTTCTCGCGCAAAGTATGGCGAGCAAGCAAAACGGCTCTGCGAGTAACCTGGTCACACAACTCGAGGAAGCCGCTCAGCGCGCAATCCGGGCGCAGCACGCACAAGCTGAGGGAGAGATCCGTGCTCTCATCCAGGCCAAGAGCTTCATGCTAGAGGAATTGCACGAGCACCTCAGAGCTGAGGCTACAACCCTGCTAGATCGATCCAAAGTGGGGCCGCGCGCTAACGGCTCACCAGCTCGCAGGCTCGCAGGATCTGCCTCGTTGCCTATACCGGCTGCTAGTCCCGTAAGGATGACGCGCTCTACCAGCGGTGGTACTAGCGACGTAGCAACACCACGAGGCGAGACATCTCTGCCTCACACTATTCGGACTGCTCGCAAGCAGGGTTCGGGCAAGCGTGGACAGTCGAATGCCCTGGAAATCCCTAGCAATGGCACGCGCTTGCGCGACGACTCGCCAAGCTTTTCCGACGAGGATCTTGACCTTGAGCCCACTTTGCCCTCCTCTGTGTTTGAACGCAGACGCGGACCACTAGGCAGTAGCTTTGGCACGAGCGCAAGCATGACGTCATCCGGGCCCGGAGCAACGCACTCCAGCTTGTCTACCTCAATCTCTGCCCTTTCAGCATCTTTCGCGATGAGAGGTAGAGATCTCCCGCCTCGCTCTTCAAATTCTACAGAGGAGTGGGCTGCGAAGCGTCGCTTGCGGGAGAGGTATCCAGAGGGAGATCACTCTGCGCTCACGAGCGCTGCAACTAGCGCGGCAAATTCGACCGCCACAAGCGAGGATGAGCGCAAGACGGAGGACGAGCGAGAAGAGGCTGGACGCGGACGAGCGCGAACGGAGTCAGAGGGCGATGAGAGAGGAAGAGGCAGACGGAGAGCAGCGAACAAACCTCCCAGTGTGAGCCCCCAGCCCGTGCCCATCACTCCGGCCGTCTTGGGAGGCATCAGTCAAAAGTCGAGGCCGAGCGTTGGCCTAGAGACAGCGCCATCTTCTACAAGCCAACGCGCTGAGCAAGAGCCTGCGCCGGGAGCGGCATCGGCTCTGCCTAACACCACCGAAGCTTCGACTTCCGACAGGCCACCAGAGGGGCAATTCGCCAGGCGAGGTCCTCAATCGCCCCTCAAATCCGCTCGTAAGGGAAGCCGACGCAACAGCGAAATTGCAACCGATGCAGCCGGCTCCCTCGTCGGTTTGATGGGAGGTGAGGGCAAGGAGAGCAAGGGTGCTGGCCCATCATCTGTCACAGAAAAGAAGGTCGCTTTTGCACCAACTACGATGGAAGTTCCCTCAACGAAGGTGGAGAGCGATGGCGAGGAAGAGAATGCTGGAGCAACGATGTGTGCCGCTCCGACTGGATTGCAAAATGGCGGCGAGCAAGGTGGTGAGTCACACAAACATAATGAAAGGAGCGCAAGCACCCCTTTATTCGACGCTGATCAAGTTGGCGTTGCCCGCAGAAGCTCTGTTCGAAATCGACGAAGACTTCATTAAGGAGGACAGGGAAGATGAGGACGATGAGGGGACAATCGGCTCTGATGGAGAGGTTCAGAGCGCGGGTCAGCGAGCTCTGGAGCTTGATACCTTGGAGCCTCAGGAAATGGGATCAAGCACTCCGGAAGACGGCGCTGACTCGGAGGACGACCGTGATCGTGTGAGCTCATTGAGCTCCGACGAGAGATTTGAGCCCGCGTCCGTAGGTGTCTTGGCTGCGGGCAGCTTCTCAGCTCTTTCGGCATCCATGGATGCGCGCAAACGAAGCCGGGGCCGCCAGACATTGGGAAGTAGGCAAGCGTCAGACTCGGCATTCGATCCCTCTGACGTCAACAGAGACGGCTTTGATCCCGCATCGCTGCGTATCGACGGTCGCGTCGTACCTCCGTCGAGTGCGACCAGGCGCACAGAGAGTCGAGATCGCGCCATCAATGCTCTTGCTAGCCCGGTGGAGCAATCCCGCAACTCTGCGCAACATGTGTCACTGCCAAGAGCCCCATCGCGGCCTGTCGAGAACACGAGTGCCCGTGCAGCGCCAGGCACCACCATCGGATTCCGCGTTGCGGTCGGAGAGGCCGAGGCTAGACTTTCTGGCTTGCTAGCGCCAAACGTGCCCAGTCATCGCGGGCTTCGAAAGTCGACGACGGAGCGGAAGCGAAAGACCAGCAAGTACCAACTAGACGATGAAGATGACGACAAGTGGGCTGCGTGGCAGACGAGAGGTGAGAATAAGTCGCGAATGGCGAGAGAGGATCACTCATCTCTGAAGCTTACCCGACTCGCATTCGACGACAGTGCGCGATCAAGAACAAAAGAAGTCGCTTAACGCATCGCCCGATGCGTCCGCGCTAGCGAGGTCGGTGCCGATAGGAATTGCCACACCTCCCGGCCTCAGCACTTTCAACCGTTTCGGAGGTTCTACAACCATCGTACAAGATGAGACTTCAGGCTTCGATCTTGAGGTGCGTTTTCGCAGGAGCGGTCATGTGTTGTTCAACGTGCGGGCCTGACACCAACCACATCTTACATCTATAGCCCAAGACAAGCTTGCCATACCAGGAGCGCAAGATGACCCCGTCTCTGCTCAAGGCTCAACGCCGAGTTGTGACTTCACCTTCGCGCCAGAAGCCATCAAGATTGCCAACCATCCCTGACGGCCAAGAGACGTCTGGCTCACAACCGTCGAGCGGCAAGCTCGAACAGTCTTCAGTGCGGCCGGGCACAGAGAGGGCTGGGAACACCGCGCAGAACATCGCAATTCGACCCAGCGATGACTCACTAGCGCGTAAAAGTCCCAGTCTTCCCAACAGCGTCTTCAAAGCTGGTTTCGAAGTGTCGCCAGCGCGGAGCTCAGCGCAGCACGCGGATTCGTTAGCTTCAACAACTTCTCAAGAGCCCATTCAGCATGGTGCGCCATCAGGTGCTCGACTACTGGACCCAGGCCGCTATCTGCGAGGCCAAGCGTCGGAAGCCGGAGCTGCGGGCTCATCTCCTGTCTCTGGTGCAACCACGCCCTTGGGCAGAAGGTCGCCTAGACCTCCTTACGTCCCGCCACCTCAGCCCACAAGCACCATGATCAGACTGCAGCCAGATCCTACGCATAAGCCCGGCCCGTTGTCGCTCTTCGATGTATCTGCGGACGGCGCTTTTGCTGAGCGGGAAGTTGGCGAGGAGATGGAAAGCGACTGGTCGAAAGTACTTGGGTTCATGCATCGTCTAGAGCGTCTCAAAATCAACAAACGGACTGGATGGTACCATCACCGGATCAGCCGGCCTGAGAGGTGGGTCGGTGTAGTGTACACGGCAGGTTGCGTCTTGCGAGTTCGCAACTCACTTTTTCTTCCTTGACGTACCTCATCCAAACAGCATCGCAGATCATATGTACCGCATGGCGGTGCTGGCAATGCTGAATCCTGCACAGGATGTAGACATCGGTAAATGCGTGCAGCTTGCGCTCGTTCACGACATGGCCGAGGCGGAAGTGGGTGATCTCACACCTTTGGATGGCGTCGATAAGGACGAAAAGACGAAGAGAGAAGCTCAGGCCATGGAGTACCTCGTCCACGATCTGCTCGGTTCCAGCCCCGCTGCTTTGCGTCTCATGGCCTTGTGGCAAGAATACGAAGCGCGAGCGACCAAGGAAGCCAAGTTGGTCAAGGATTTGGATCGATTTGAGCTCTGCTTGCAAGCGCTCGAGTATGAGCGATGTGAGTTGCTGGCTGTGTGGCGCGATGACTTTCAACGGCTCTACTCATCAGCTCATTTGCGTTCCGATCTAGCTGAGAGCATCGCAGATCTGCAGCCCTTTTATCAAGGATCTATAGGCTACATTACCTCTCCTCTTGTCCGGTGTTGGGCTGTCGAGCTCGCGCGTGAACGCGAAGCTTTGTGGAATGAGCGTGGCATCTCTTACGAGCAACCTTTGCCCCGAAATCTGCTGAACAGTACCGATGTTGCATCAACCCCGGCCACTTGGACTAGCGAGATGGAGCGCACCAATACCAGATGAAACGGAATTCACATTCCAAGCGCGGAGGCGTCCACTCAAGCCACGTATTAGGGCAAGGTGCGCCGTGCTGAGAAGTAGTCCGACAGGATTGCCAGCGCTGGGCTCGTTTTCGCGACACACGAAGACAGGTTACTCGTACATTTCTTCCATGAAGAGAGGCGAAAGGGGCGTGCACAAAATCAAATTTGTCGCTCTGCTTCACCGTCCTGGTCATCCACTGCCATGAATTTATGCAATTCTTTCCAATACCCAAGCGCTCCTGGGTTCGATCCCGACCTTGTAATAGTCCTGCACCGTGCCGGTGTGCTTGAAACCTTGGGATTCGTAAAATGCCTTTGCTTCGTCGTTCGAAGTCTGAACGTGCAGGTAGAGGCTCTTCACCGTTCTGCTTTCCCTCTTCGGTTCTTCCGTCTTTGCCGATGTTGCTTTGGAATCCTTTGAGCTTTTGGAAGCCGCATTAGTGTTGTTGCTGTTGCTGCTTTTGCTATATGTGGACGCGGATGGAGCTTTCGGAGCAGGCGCGTTTGGATCGCGCAAGGAGACGGATGTGCCTACTCCAGCTACGGTGAGCAGATGCCTCAGAAGCTCCGAAGCGATGCCTAATCGTCTGTAAGGAGCCAATACGCCCAACGTCATGATGTACACCTTTACTTCTGAATCTCCCTCTCGCTCGTACCTGCAACAGATGTTGCCCACTGGAATGTCATTGAACAGCGCTAGGAAGCGACATTGGTGGGGAGCAGAAGGAGAACGTCAGACGATGGTTTGTGTTTGCCGCGAAGAGGTGGGCCGAGAAGCTGAGCGAATGGACGCCTCGTTCTTGTCCTCAAAGAGCTGAACAGACCTGACCTGACCCAACAAGCGCTACGATGGGCCCCACCATGCTCCTCTCCCTCTCTCTGAATCTTGCCCACGATCCTTTCCCTTCTGCCACCCCCATGTCCCCCCCCAAATTATCCCTCTGCCTCACGCGCCTACTCACCAAGTTTGCAAATCGCAGCCACATCCTTGTGCAACACATCCTTGTACCACCCATCCGAGAATCTGACTGGGAAAAGTACAGAGTTCAACCTTCTCAATTGGCCCACGTTGTTGGGTGTCAATAGGGCCAGCGCAATCTTGTGAGGTATGACGCTTCTTATGGGAGCTTTGGATCGCGCTGCGTAGATTTTGGGAGGAGGTGGAGCGGGGAGTGAAGAGGTGGTCGCTGTCGATGCCATAGTGTCCAAGTGAGCGCGTTTGTAACCCTAAGCTGCTAAGTTGAGGAGCAGTAGAATTCGACGAAAGTCGACGAGCGAAAGCCAAGCAAGAAGTGGGCTTTGACAGGAGGGCGCGAAACTTGGATGTGATAAGCAGACTGTAGAATGTGAATAAAGCTGGCAGGTGATGGACTTCTGCATGACCGTCAAGCTGTTGAGTTGATTCGTGTTTATGCAGGTGACGTCGTGACTTGTGAGTTGTTGGCAGGTTCGAATCACCATCACGAACTGCCTTCTCACTTTGTTACTACTTGTGGACGGACGTGCACCCTTCACGCGCCTGAACTGCGCGCGCACTGCACGGTGTGTGGCAGCGCGTGCTGCGCTCCACGTGGTTCACGCGAATAGCATCTCTGATCTGATCATGAATCGGCAGCAACAAGGACCAAGCGCTCAACAGGACCTCGACTCAGACCCCCTCCGCCTTCCTCGTGAGCAAGGATTATACGCACACTCCACCTCATGTATGCGTGAGCCGCAAGCAGAACGGGAAGGTTGGGGGGCAAGTCGCGCGGCGAGCAAGTAACCAGATTCGTAAGCAGTGAGCTGTAAAGCAAACATGTACCAAGTCTGCAGACCCTCTAAACCATTCGAACCAGGTGCAAGTGAGGGAGATGTGCCGAAAAGCCGTCGCAAGCAGGATGCTGGAAGCTGCTGGCCCGCGAGTCGCACCTCGAAGTAAGATCTTTTGGCCACTTCAACATTTCATTTCGTAAAAACAGGAGATATTTTCTTCGAAGGAAAAGGAGAAAGAAAGATGATGGGGGGAAAGGAGGATGAGAAGCGGAGCGGAGGATGCGTAGGCAGGTGCATTGATCGCGACGGGGAGCAAAGATGCGAAGATCGTGAGGGAGGGAGAGTCGCAAAAGCAAGATTCAGGAAGAGTAGAGGTGCGAGATGGCGTGACCGAGATGCGCACGATCGGACACAATTGGACGCGATATAGCTCTCTCAACACACCTAGTAGACCATTCCGTCTCCTCCAAGAAGCAATTGGATAATCAACCTTCTCTCACAGTGCTTCCGCTCGCGACGCACGCCACCTTGTCATCCTCCATCTTCTCCCCTATGCGCATCGCCATATAGCAACTCTCCTTCGCATTCCATGTCCCCTTTATGCAACTCTTGTGCCTCGAGTTGCTTAACCACGCTTCTTGAGGTTGGTGGACAGCCACTCGAGACCCTCGTAAAGACCGTCACCGCTGGTAGCGCAAGTCGCTTGGATGAACCTGTGCGTCGGGTACGCAAAGGTGGGTTGAGGTCAGATCCATTGCACCAAGATCACTGATCGCGCTCGATCATGACTCACCACTGGCGCTGCCTCAGACTGTGCAAGCCGAGCTTGTCCGTGATTTCTGCCGCGTTCATCGCGTTTGGCAAATCTTGCTTGTTGGCAAATACGAGCAGCAGAGCGTCGCGCAGCTCGTCTTCGTTCAGCATGCGCTGCAGCTCTTCGCGCGCCTCAGATACACGTTCACGATCGTTCGAGTCCACAACGAAGATGATACCTTGGGTGTTTTGGAAGTCTGTGGAAGAAGAATGGACGCGCCTTGTGTCAGCATGTTGGGGAAAGTGTCACGCAGGCCATTGACATCTGGAGAGCCCACGTTTCTTCCAAAAGGAGCTAAGACAAAAACTTCCACGCCACTGCACTTCGACATGGCATCAAATGTCTGCTGCTCTACTCACAGTGTCGCCAGAGGGGGCGAATCTTGTCCTGACCTCCGACGTCCCAGACGGTGAATGAGATGTTCTTGTACTCGACAGTCTCGACGTTGAAGCCTGGATGAAAACCACAGCAGAACAAGTCAGCAAAGCACGAAGAGGATCGTCTCTTAGCAACAGCTCGAGGTGAGGCGCCAAAGCTTCAGACGCACCGATTGTGGGAATGGTAGTGACAATTTCACCCAGCTTGAGCTTGTAGAGAATCGCTGTGGAAAGTGCAAGGAAGTAAAAGTCTACATGAGCAGAGGCGCACATGTCACAGACCATGAGCCTATGAGCACACTCACTTGTTTTACCGGCGGCATCGAGTCCGACCATCAGGATGCCTGCGAAGAAGCCAAGCGACGTGAGCTCTCTCGCTCTAAAAACAAATGTAACGACCATGGTTGGAGAGGGGACAATGGGTGTACATGCAATGCTATGTCTCAAACAATGACGAAGAGAACCCCTGAGACGCAGCGCGTCTTGCCCTCTTGGAGCACGTCGCAATACCGCACGATTTCGCGCGGTCACACGCAGCACAAAGGCTCGAACCAATCTTCCCTGGGTGGTGCTTGCCTCAACTCGGGCGACGGCGATCAGAGCACGAAACGGTTGCGGCTGTGATCTCTTCCAGCCCTGATGATAGTCCTTGTGAAATTCCTCTTGCCGCCGAGGGGCTACTCACGCATCTCCTTCTTGCCAAAGAGGCCGCTCAGCAGTCGGGAAACGCTAAGACCCATATTGATAGCTCTCGATGGAGGTCCGAAGGTGATGAGTGAATTGTGTGGTGGTCAAGCTCCTATCTAGTGGATGGTATACCGGTCGTGGCAAACCGCAGATCAAAGGCGAAGCGATGCCTCTATATGCGGGACTTTGATGTGTTGATGAGGTCGTTCGTGAAGTAAGGATGGAGCAAGACAGCCTTGGAAGCAGCGATTGACGGGATGGATGTGATCTGGTCAGGTCGACAACCGCGCGCGCGAATATCTCGTCTCATCAGAAACTCCAGACCGTCAGCGTGGCAGACAGAGAAGCAGCAGCGCCGACAAAAAGCATGTGAGCGCGTGCGGGCGCTCACCGGCGTTGGATGCATGGACGCGGCTGCTGCTGCTGCTGGAGGCGCACACATCATCAGCACCAGCTGCACCGCAGGCGCGCGAAACTCCAACTGATGGGACGCCGGACAGCTACTCATCTGTATAATAGCTAGTGCGCGTGTGATGTGCGTGTGTGCCTTTTGGCTGCGCGCTGGAACTCTCGGTCAGCTCGAGATCGATCTCCTGAGGCGCTGCAGCTAGGTGCAAGCAGCAGCAGCAGCAGCTCTACAAACCCGAATACCCACGCGCGCGCATCCGCCAGCCAACTACTGTACCTGTGCGCGGTGCGCGCAGGCTAGAGTAACAGCTGATCAAGGTCCATCCAGCGTGGCGAGCCAAATTCAGCTCAGTCCCTGCTTGCGTGGAAGGCAATTCATAAATCACCAAATACACGGCGACTACCGTCGTCGAATATGACCCAGTGTAGCAAGCTGGTCGTGAGGAAGAGTCTGCTTCATCCTTGGCATGAACGCCTGAAACCAGCCAGTCTCGGTACAGGACCTCTCACTCGTGAGACTCATCAGACTCTCGTCACAGAAGAAGCGCCACTTCGCAAGCAATCTGAAGAAACATGCTTCATTGGACTAGGCATTCGGAAGCTTCACAACTCTGGAACCGACATGATCTGCGTGCCCTGTCCGTGTAATAATGACACATGTGCTTGCCCGTCTTGGAGTAGAAGAGAAAGGGAGGAATCTTGGACCCACGTCGCATTGTTCACTACGCGAAGCCTCCTTTCCAAACTTCTGGCTAGACAAGCGCAGACGAGAGATTAGCCTTGACTTTGGCTAGTCCGTGAACGGCTTCATGTGTCAATGAGCAGAGACGTTGGTGAGAATGGATGTCAGTAGCAGCAAGCCACGTCGCAAATTGCCTGACTGAGTGCCTAGTTGAAGCAACGCAGTCAGGAATAACGCTGGACCAGCCCGTCGACGAAGCACAGAAGAGGTAAAGATGTGGACGCAAAGCGAAGGACAGAGCAGCGGTGGTGCTTTGCCGCCAGAGCTCGCCCATTATGGAAGCGCCAGTTTGTAAGAAGGATGCATTTCTCTCGGACATCTTCCATGGCCATCGCGCGCTCAAGTAGGCGTATAGCGAAGCTTTGGTAATGGATGTCCCAACGCATGGTCGGATACAAAGTGTCTGGATGCTCCCTTCGAGCGATTCCACTTCAGATATTCAAAGCAATACAGTCGAGGACCGTCTCCTCAGGGGTCGCTTGAGTCCGACTCCTGGCCCATAGCAATCAGCAAATGTCTATGTAAATTCGATCGGCGTGACCGTTGATATGATGTGAAAATCCTAAGAGAGCCTGAAGGTTGCTGCTGAGGCGCTGCAATGAATGTCCTTGTGAAGCTGTTTTCGTGTGTTCGAGTCACTCAAAACTCAAGACTCCAACTACTCAACGGCGAGCGCGCGCATGCAAGTGGAAGCGGCGTGTAAAGCCACGTGGAAGTCTTGTCACGTGCGATCAAGCTGAGAGCTCCAAAATAAAAACGGGCGTAAAAGCAGTGACAAATTTTGCGCCATTCACGATCATTGATGCGTCAGATGCTGCGTCTCACCGCGCGTGCTGATGCTGCTGCTGCAGCGCTGGTGCACGCGGATGCGGTGGGCCGCGGCAGACGGGTGCGGCGTGCGCGCGACTCACAGCTGCTGCTGAGCTGCCTGCTGCGCTTGGCCGTGCCAGGTGACTGGTTCGTGCACCGCGCGCTTGCACCCCGGCCATATAGCGAATGCTGAATTCTTGCTGCTGCTTGCTGGCAAAGGGTGAGAGGCTGACGCATCGATCAGCAGCAGCAGCAGCAGCATGCAGCAAGAATGAAGCGCTTAATTTGAGCTAGGGAGGCGGCGGGCGGGCTGCTGCTGCTGCACATATGCCAGACGGGCTGAGCTCGCGGATGGATGCGACCGCACCCAGGAGCGTGAGGTGAAGCGACACCCCCCAAAGCAGCGTTTTTTGCCATTCCCCTCCCAAGATCCCCTCCAATTTTCACCATTTGCCACGCCAAAGCATATCTCCACAAGAGGACCTTATGACGAGAGCAAGCAACGACGATAGCCTACCCCACTTCGCCACCGCTGCCGTCGTTGGGGCCTTGACAGCGACTCATCGCTACGTGACGTCCAAGGCAACGTCACGTCGTCAAAGTTCCTCTTGGCTATGGCGTCGCGAAGGAATCGCCTGCTCAAGCTTAACCTCAAGAGCCGCGTGAGTTTGCAGACGAGTCCACTCCCGAAAAAGTCTCAGTCTCGGCAGGCGTCGGGCATCCCCCCCCCCTCCTCATTTCCCGTCTGTCGGCCGGGTACGCGCCCTTTTCCGCGCGCCTCCTCTCTGCCCCAAGCTCGTTGTGATTCGTTTCTCGCATTTCCTTGATTGGGAAGCCCAAACAGATAGCTCGGCGTCGGCAAGGTGCATCCTCTGCGGGATGTCTTGTTGGCGTGCTCGCAAGGGCGCAGCGACGCGCGCCTCGCTAGCTCGCAGTGCGCTCTGCTTTACGCGCCCACCCATCTGTTTCCCGCCTTGGGAAGCAATGCTTCCGCTCTCTCTCCCTGCTTTTTGAGTCTACGACTCAGCTTTCGCAGAGATTGTCACAATTCACATTTCGCTTGCAATATCTCTTCCAATCACACTGGCTGCTGACATCGCCTTCGCCTCTTCTTCCCTTGACGCCCGATTTGTCCCCGCAACGTAGTTGTGCGTCCAAAAAGGTTCTCTAGGCACTGAGCAAGCCGCTTCCGCTGCAGTCGCCCTCAGTGGCTCCAATGGCGGCGAGCCTGAGTTTGAAGGCCACGACGACCGCGACAAGCATCTCGGCGTGGATGCCAACGAAGTCACTGTGAGTGCATCTCGTGTCTGATCGCGCGCGTGCGCGTGCAACGTCACGCGCGCCATGCACGTCGAATCGTCGCGCCTCATGCAGGCCAGACGAATGCGGGTGACGCGTTGGCAGAGGAGCGCTTCGAGTCGATGGTTTGCACGCGCCTGCAACCAATGTGCGCGTGTGCAATTTGCGCGTGTGCATCGTTCGCGAACCCTGACTATATGCTCACTTTCATCTTTTCAATGTATCTATTCCAGGAACATCATCTTCAAGCTGCTTTATCCTCGACGCAGCTCGCCAATGACTCTGCCAATGGTGAAAGCAGCAAGAAGTCTTATCACATTCCCACCCCCAAAACCAAGGCAATACTATCACCAGCCGAGTATTCCGCTCTGTATCCCTCGGGTGCCTACTCAGACCCTATCACGTACGTTCGCTTCTCCGACACTGTCGAAGACTCGACTCGGGGGCCTTCGTACTGCTTAGACGAAGAAGACAATGAGTGGCTCGAGAATCACAACAAAGCAGCGGCCGAAGCGGCAGCCCTCAAGCTTCGCGACACCAAAGCCTTGAAGCAGAGCGCAAATGGCACGACGACGGGCAAAGGCAAAGAGCGCAGTCGTGAAGATGCAGCTTTTGCACTCATTCGAGGTGATGGCAAGCTGCGCGTCATCACGCCTGACGAGTTTGAAATGGTCATCACAGTGTTCGAAGCTTATACTTCGGAGAGGGTGCCATTCGTTCATCTCAATCTCAACACTCTACCGTCTTTGCAAGATATGCAAACTTGGTTCGACTCTACTTCCAGCGTGGCGAAGCTCGCGTTGCCAGAGCTGTCTGACTTGCCCTGGGAGCAGCAGCAGCGCCGAGCATCGAGCTCAGCATCCGTTGCCAACCAGACGCAGAGAGAGAAGACTCTGTGGTCACCCAACAACCCATACCGCAACCTTGCTGATCTCAAACCCCTCGCTGTAGTCATCTATGCCTGGTGGAAGCAGCGTCGCGAACACCGGGAAGGAAAATCCATCGCACCCGTGCTCAATTTTGACGAAAGTAACGAGAATGATCCATACGTCTGCTTCCGCAGAAGGGACGTCAAAATCCCGAGGAAGACCAGAAAGACAGATGCCCTGCACTTGGAGAGACTCTTGCGCCTTCGTATCGAACTGGAGAGCGCAACTCAGCTGCTGTCGCTGGTTGCTCAGAGGGAGAAAACCAAACGTGCCAGTCTGGCCCAGGACCGGGCTTGTTGGGATGCTTCGCGCGACTTACTCGAAGTCAAACGGACCTGGAACCTCACTGGTCCACAAGGCGGTGCTGAAGATGAAGAACTCATCGTCGGCGAACGGCGCGAGGACACAGCCCACGGCGTCGCAGGTGCCGCATCTGCCTCTTCTGCGCGAAAGAAGCGCAAAGCGGAGCAAGTTCCCACAGAAGGTTCTGTTGGTACAATACGAATCCCGAATCGCAGGCCTAGGCCAAGCGAAGATGGTACGTCGGTCACTTCTGGCGGGGGCGCTTCAGGCTCAGCTGCACCCGCACCTGCCCCGGGCCTTGGCTCGGCGATCTTGGAGCGTGTGCAGGCTGTGCAAGCATACATCGAGAGAGAGTGCCTGCGCAAAAGCGAAGCCGATCTTGGCTGGGAAGAAGGAACAGATGCTGCTTTCCAACCCGTTCCAGCGCCTTCAAGTCTCAGAGCGTTTCGGCCCATTCAAGCAGACACTGGGCACGATCACTCCGCGCAGCAGCAGAATTTTTTTCAGCAACACAATTTTCTCTCTCCCTTTCATCAGGCGCCCTCTCCTTCCGGTCCCGCAGAATTGGCAGCGTCAGACGCTGCCGGCTCGCCCAGAGCAGGGAGGCCGCCCTCGTTTCGAAGACGAGTGGGTCGTGGAGGCCGAACCTTTCTGGATCGGCGACTTCCTACATCGAGTGCTGTCCCCGCCAGTCTACGCAATTGGCCGAGCAATAGCGAGACTTCCTCGCCGGCGCAATTCGAATCTGCACGGTCGCAGCAGAGGTTGCTAGGAGCTTCTCCGACCCAGACGCGCCAAACCGCTGTCGGCACTACAGCTTCCAATCCCCGAAAGGCTGTGACGTCAGGAGCCGAGCGCCTCTCGGGACCATTCGCATTTGCCCCGGCTGTGCGACCCGTGCTCCTTTCCAGTCAGGACCACGCGGCGACGCGTGCCACAGGTCCATTTGCGCAAGCTGCAGCTGTACCCAGCTCGCAGCATTCCGACGCTTCCAGCACTGCATCTCACTCGTCATCGAGCGCAAAGTCGCATGGAGAAGTAAGCACCCAAGCGACCGAGGTGGAGGAATTCGATCTCGACGATCTTAGCAAGGAAGCGGATGGCAAGGACGTTGCGGGAGAGGCCGAAACTGATGACGACGATGACCATTCGGCTTCCGATGACCACCATGCTGCAGACCGGTGGACGCGTGCTCTGGAGCGTTGGCGCTACGACGACGAGGCTGGGAGGTGGGCCGGAGTGGGACTGGCAGGCTTGGGAGGCATGGAAGATGACGACGAGGCTGTTCTGGACGACTTCGACCAACGCTTCGTCCGCTTCCGCATGAGTTTGCTGGAGGAAGCGGACCTACTCAAGTTGTCCACGGACCTGAACAACATCATGCAAGCACAAGCGGCTGCAACTACCTCGCCGCCTCCTCTGCTGGGCATGGCGATCCCGACACCCGCACCGCGGCATACGGAACAACAAGCTCTTTCGGCGAGTTCTGCTCAGCAACACCCCTTTCAAACGGCTCAGGCTCAGATTGTGCCGCAGCAGCAGCCGCAGCAGCAGCAGGTCCCAATGCCACACGCTTCTGTCAACGCCGCTGCCAGTCAGGTCGCCCAGAATGTAACAAGCGTTCCAAACTCCATCCCTGGTCAGCCCATGCAGATGAATGCGCAAGTGCAACAACAACTACAGGCAAACATTCAGCAGCACTTGCAGATGCAGCAGATGCAACAATTGCAACAGCAACAGCAACATGCTCAACAGTTGAATGCAGCGTCCGCTCAACGTATTCATCCTGACGTTGCTGGACCGCTCGCCGCTCTTTCCGCTCAGCAGGCGTATCAACAAGCCGCAGTGCAACGTGCCTTTGAGCAGCGCGCTTTGGAGTCTCAAAGAGCCGCTGCCGCTGCTGCCGCGGGCATGGGCCTGCCAATAGTTCAGCAGGGGTCACAGATGGCACGACAGAGGACGGGCGCAAATGGCTCCGCTCAACCTCACCCCTTGTCGCAGTCCTTCAGCAATGCGAGTCCGCAGTCATCCTTGGAGGGCTCACCTCAGGTACCTCAGCAAGGTGTTCAGCAGTTCCAAATGGGCGCTGCACCAATGCAGACGCAACAAGCCGGCCAGCAGCATGGTGCCATGCCTCAGCGCGCAGCTCAGAGTTTTGCACAAGGTGGCGGCAATGCAGGCATGCCAAGCTCGCCGTTCATGATGAATGGTGGCTTCAGCGAAGCGCAAATACAAGCACACCTCACCGCGGTACAAAATCAAAACCGGCATCAATCCTCTTCCCCTGTCCCAATGTCAGGGTCGAACAAGCAGTCCCCGCAGACGGCAGCGAATGCTGTCTTTCAGAATCCCAGCCAGGGTGTGACGGCTCAGCAGCAGCTGCAGCAGCTACAACAGCTACAACAGCTACAGCAGCAGCTGCGCCTGCAGCAGCAGCAGCAGCAACATCACCAGCAACCCCAGCAGCAGCAGCAACATCAGCTCCAACAATCCGCCGTCAACAATGCGAACATGCAGCAGTACAATCCTGCGACGATCGCGGCGCTGCAGCACGCGGCAGCTACTCAAGCTCAGCTGCACGCCAACAACCTGGGCAACGGAATTGGACTCACGCCTCAGCAAATGCAGCAGCAGCAGCAACAGATCTTAGCAATGAAAGCCGCTCTGGCTCAGAGCGGCAACATGCAGCTCAAATTGCCGCAGGGTCGCATGCAGCCGCCGCACATTTCCAATGGCGGACTCTCACCTTCGCGACAGGGAGGCAAGACACAGCCAGGACAGATGCCGCAAGCGCCACAGCAGCAATTTCAACGTTCTTCATCACAGTCGTCGGGCGCTGGTGGACCAGGTCAGCAGAACGGCAGCCAGCGAGGCAGTCCTGCCTTGAGCCATCATGGTTCGCCCCAGCAGCACCATGCTGCTGCTGTCGCTGCAGCTCAACACCAAGGATCGCCTATCTCACGACCTGGCAGCGCTCAATCGCTGATGCCGCAGATGCAGCAGCAACAGCCACAAGCGCAGCAGCAGCAGCAGCATGCAATGGGGCAGATGGCCGTTGGTGCGGGCTCGCCCGGTCAAGCCACGCCCTTCACGGCGTATGGTCCCTGAAAAAAAACTCGCTTGTGGGTCATGTGCGATTAGGACGCTCAAAAGTCACACCTCGCAGTCTGCGTGCACGTCTCCTTCGGACTTTGAAACCACCACTCGGCTAGTCTAAAACTTGTACTTCTATGCGCACACTGTGCGATGTACCACTCTCGAGGATTCTCTGGTTATCTCAGTAACTCCGCCCACTAGCGCCGTATCTTGATACTCGTCCACGACTATTCTTACACTGCTATCCTCTTACCCCTTACCGCTTCTCTTTGTTTCTCTTTCCCTCTTTCCCTTCTTGACTTTCTCGTGTGGCGTCTTGATGGCCGTTCGAGGCTTGTTGGTGCAGGGCTCCCACGATGCTGTGGGAAATGTGATGATCTTCAAAGCTGCCCCAAGAAGGGGCAGCTTGTTCCGTCCTCTCGAATTTTGTACGCGCGACGGACTGCAGGCGAAAGTGTTGTGTGTCTTGAAGAGGTGTTGGCGCCCCCGTGGCGTCGAAAATCATGGCGGGCAAGCAGGGGCTGTTTTGGAGTTGCCACGTGACCCGTCAAAAAGTGTCACCTGTTCTTGTCATGACGAACGGTGTAGAAGCATCACAATCTTGAATTAAAGCGTGATTCTAAAGATGGAAAGTCCCGCACCGACGAGGTCTATTGTGTGGACGTCAAGGATCCTCAGTGAGCAGAGCCGATTACCGCTGTTCAACACGAGCATGTTGCTAACAATTCGTCAAGCACGAATATTGCTCTGTGGTGTTTGCATACAAGACGCTAGCGAATCAGACAGAAGCAACAACTTGAATGCGTCATTTCAAGCGGCAAGGCGAAAGCGTTCGAAGCAAGCAACTGCGTCCGATGCAAGGTGATTCTGGATGCAATCAAGCCGATGGCTGTTTGGCCGTGGTGTGGCCGTTGTCAACGATCAACTTGCATGTGCTCAGCACTCACAATTCGCTGTCATGAGCTGCTCGCCGCCAAGATCGAGGATTGCTCGCCTCGCCTCGGCTTGTGCGTCTAGGTGCCAGGCGGAATAGAAGGTTAGTCATGGCCTGCGCAAGGCTCTGGATAGGCGCGGAGCACTTGTCCCTCGGGCTTGCCGTGGGACTTGGGAAAGTTCAAGTTCAAGATGTATGTTCTCCTACTCTGCTCTCCCAACATCCTACACTTCACGATTCTCCTGCGCTGGACGCTCGTACTTTGCCCTTCATTCGTTTCATTGTACCCAACCTCTACATTGACGTTCATTCAGTAACTTGTGGAGAGCTCGTCATCTGGGAGTGCGTATCGAACTGGATTCAATCTCCCAAACACATCCTCCTCACTAGCTCCAAACACGAGCACTGCGCCGGCCGCACTGGACACTTTCTCCTTCTGCTCCTTGGCCTTTCGCCCGCATCCGCCGGGGTCAAACTTCTTAGCTGTTCAGTTTCTTCGCAATCCATTTGCCACCTTCAAGTCAATCTTACGAAGTGCGCATAGTCGCCGACCTTTGCCTCCAAGTCGACGCAGGTGCGAGCAGACAGTATGTCGTCCAATTCTGATCAGCGTCAGCAACCAGGTCAAACAGGTCAGAAGGAGGCAGAAGCACTTTCGGTGCTTGCACAAGCTACCCGGCATCAGCCGAGCTCATCAACGTGATTGCCGAGATGGTCAATGAGTCAAAGAGCTTATCATAGAGCTGATCATTCTTCCCCCCTTCGAATGCAGTGCTCCACTCAACGAGATGCCCGGCACCCCTAGTCGACGGAGACATACGGACGCACAAGGCTTGGTCCCTGCAACGCCGACCCGGGTGGAGAGAGCCACGACTGTCAGTGGACTGTTCACACAAACCACGCAGACTACTCAGGCCGGGCCTTCGCGCGGACACAATCCGTACATGCGACCCACAGCGCCTCGACCGTGGTTTGAGCAGCATGCTCTTCTACCGGCAGACCCAAGCTCACATTGGCAGCTCATGCAACCGACCCACCTTCGGCCGGAAGATCCATGCTCTGCGCCGATTCCGGTGTCCGCTGGTCTTACGCCGTCTCCCCCACTGGCGCCATCACCTCGACTCACGCCGTCTCCTCGACCCTCGATGATCCCTCGAAGGGTGTCGAAACAGCCTAGCGCGTCGGCCCAAGGGACTGCGGGTGGCGACAATCAATATTTAGATCACGGTAGTACAAGCCAAGGTATCAGAGGAATGGGACCGTCAAGCTCTGTCCAGGCTTCACTTCCACACGCACGAATTACCGGTCCCGCGCTGGGATTGCCGGCACAAGGACTTGGGGCCCCGTTGCCTTCTGTCTCACAGTTGCCACTAGGCTCCTCGACAAATCAGCTTCACCAGCTGCCGCCCATAGACTCGCGAAGAGCGTCTCAGCCTTCCAATCTGCCACAGCCTTGGAATCCGTCACACTCTTCGAGGTGGTCACAACAGCCGCCTGCTACCGCACACCCTTCTATTCCGAGTAGAATGCCACAGAATCATCAGCAGAATGTGCTGCCACCGCTGCGTCCCGAGACGATCACCAAGTCTCTCCTCCCAATAGCTGCCATTCAAAATACTGGAGCGCAGCCAAGACTCGTGATGAGAGACAGCTCTTCGCCTGAATCTCGACAGAGGTCTCAGTCCTCCGAGATAATGTCGTCCGTGCATCTCCCTTCACCACCATCGGTCCTCCGTCCTTCTGTCTCGTCTCTCTATTCAGCCAGCCGACCGGGTCTGACAGGAATGCCAAATGCCACAGCTACCTTTGCGCAAGGTGTGCAGCGATCAGTACCGCCTGCGCAGTTGGACGACTTGCGCATCGACGAACCAACTTCTTCTCAGGTCACTCAACCCCAGCAGCCATCAATGAGCTCGACCATGGCTCCGACTATCGCCCCATCGACTTTGCTCTGGCCTCCAGGGGCTAAATCATCTACCAACGCGCCGAAGAAGACGATAGGCTCTGTTCCCGAAGGTACATCTTTGACGCACTTGGCAATTGCAGCAGCTCAAGCTGCACCGCTGCCACATCCGCCGTGCGATCCGAGTAACACGTTGCCGTCTGCACATGGCGTCCCGATCCCAGGTGGGCCGCTCTCCAACCCCTCAAAAAGCGCGTCGGGACGCACACGTCGCCTTGCGTCTCTGGCGATTGCGACGTCGAGTCCTTCCGCAGGGGGACCAGCAGCATCAGCTGGCAAGTGCAAGGGCAAGGGCAAAAACAAGGCGAAGCGGCCTCGGGCTGAACGGTCCGAGTCATCGCAATCATCAGAAATCGGCAACGATGCCCCACCGTCGTCGTCGCACGCGAGAGCACTGAGATGGATGCCAGTGTCCGTGGCAGGTGAAAGCCCCCAAGCTCTGAAGGGAGGCTCAGGCAGCGGCTTGCAAAAGGCCAGCACAGCGCCACAAGTGGTGACGGAGCCCGTGGTACCCTCAACTCAATCCGCCATCGTGGAACTTTGTGAGGACCTACGGCAAGTTCGTCTGCAATCTGCCGGACGGCGGTCGGCGTTCTGGAACGAGTACTTTGTTTGGTCAGGCAGCCTATCTATTCAGAGCGGCTTGTTTCGCGACGCGAATGTTCTTTGTGAGGAGATGCGCATCTTACACGGTAAGGTCTATCAGCAACTTGAAAGGTTTGAAGGCTTTCGAATCAATCATCACCGTTTGATTCAGGGCCTCACAAGTGACTGCATCAAGCTTTGGGAGGAACAAGATGCCTTTTACTCGAGACTATCCGCATTGTTGCCGAATGATCAAGTCGCAGCCAATGTGCCGGTGACTGCTAGCGATGAGCCGTCCGCTCAAGCATTGACAGGGACTTCTGAAGGTCCAAACACACAAAGTACTTGACATTGGCCGCTTATCCCTCTCTGACGCACATTTGTACCGCGCATCACATCTCTCGCCATCTCATCATCTGAACACATACATTGCTCTCTGAGCGGAATCTCATTTTGCCTGTTCCAAAATTGCATCGATCGGCTTGGCTTGGGCGAGATCGGCCGCCGGGTTGTCCGCCTGTGCGAAAATGGCTTGGAGGTGCTAGCGGTGCTTGACTCGTGCTGCTCGTCGATGTCTCTTATTGTTCGCTTGTGGAGCCAACGGAAAGTCGGCATTCACGGCTCAACGGGTCTAGCGAGGGTAACGCTTGACTGCGCGAACATCAGAGCAGCAATTTGGATGTGGACTATGGACCGTTGTTTATGAAACAACGGGCAAGTTGCGGGTCCCTTGCATGACACAACGCCTACTTGACGGTCGATGACTCTGCTTGATTTGCCGAAGCATGATATAGTTTGCCACGTCTTCTTTTCGTCTTTCCTTCTGCTTCATCACCTCCTTTCCTCTGCTACTTCGATCGCGTTCACCTCCGACTTCTTTGCATATTTTTCTTTTGCGCTGGTCGCTCAGTCCCCTTTCACATCTGCTTCTATTGCTGCTTCACATCTTTGAAGATTGGAGTTGACCTATTGTCACTCGCCTCGTCGTCGCCTCTTCAACTTCCTGTTGAGGTTGCCCTTGTTTTGTTGCGCCATCATCTACCCATTGACGTTCGCACAGACCAGTCTCCTCTCCTTACCTTTCCCTTCCATTCCTCTGTAAGTGAGAAGAGGCTCATTCCCCGTTCGTGCAGGTTTTCTGTGTGCTGACGCACTTCCAACTTCAGATGTCTACTCAGCCTCATCCATCTTCCTTTTCGGAATCTGCTGAAATCCAGGCAAGCGCTCCACACTCGCGAAAGTCGACGAGCCCGGGTTTGGTTGAAGAATCGGAGTCCAGCTCTCGGCCAGTCCAAGAGCAAGTTACGACCGCCGCCGACTCGCTCACGCACCAGCAGGCCGGAGGCGCAATCGCCATCGGGCTTAGCCCGCACCCCTATCGGTCTTTCAGTGACCTTCTTCACAGCTTTGATATCCCTGACGTCGACTCTTGGCTACCCTGGTTGGACAGCGAAGCAGTTGAAACTACGCTACAGCAACCATCGCTGCCGCACGGATCAACTGATGCACCCGCGGCGACGCCAAGCCTAGCATCTCAGAGCGCAGATCTGCGTGGACTCCTGAATGACCTCGCTCCTCTTGAGGGCGCGCACTTGTCGCCGGTGTCTGAAAGACCGCCAAATTCGTCCCTGATGGGCGAGTCCAGCTCCCAGCCCGAGCCAGGTTCTCGCGTGGAAGGAAGGGTGCCTGCGGAGGCCGTCGCTGCCGTGGAACATAGCAGTCTTGCTGCATTGGCGCCTTCAGAGAGTACTCGAACGCAGCAGCTCTCGCTCCCCCCGCAGGTACCTATTCAGCACGGACTTTTCCCGGATCTGGATTCCGCCATTTCTCACCTACAGCAGCTTTTGCTTCCGGAAGACCTTGTCCTCGGCCAAGCCGACAGTTCTTCCATGGCAATCCAGAATACTAGCACTGATGCCGTCCCAGCTCTGGGTGAAAGGCAATTCGCACCCCAAGTGCATGAGTGAGTTGAGGCTAGCTGGCTCTTCGAGAATTCAGCAGAGTAAGTGCTGACCAGAGGCGACGTCCACCGTCCGCCCAGCTATCGACAAAGGGCGTACACGTATGCCACGCCTATGCAGCCTGCCACCGCCGACACCGGCAGTCCTCGAGCAGCTAGAGCTCGCACCCTTACCTCTGTACCAGCGGACAACCTCTTCTCTTCATTTTCTAGCGCGACGCTCACCAGCCTAGATGAAGTGGCAGGCGTGACCCAAACGCAAGTATCATGGAGAAGCCAGCCTCAGGCGGACAACAGCATGGCGGACGGCGTTGCAATGAGCACGGAAGTGCCCCACCTTGTTCAAGCTCCAACGAATTCTTTAGGCTCAGAGCAAGCCGACCAAGAAGTAGCCACGACTTCAAGTAGAGGGGCAAGGTACCGCAGCACTTCTGACCCTAGAGGAGCGTCTTCCGATTCCGAATTTCGAGCAGAGCACACCTCAAGACCCGAGCGAAGGAATTTGCCGAACCTGTGGAGGGCGACGACGAACTGGTTCACTCGGTCTAGATCACCATCTCCGAGAATTCGAAGTGCTACTGGAGGTGAAGGTGGTCTTCGTGCCGTCATAGATCGTGTGCGATCGCGCAACGAAGAGCGACGAGAAGCGTCAAGGGAGGGCGTCGTTCCATCCTCGACACGGTCGCGGCTATCCTTTCCCATGACGCGCACCTCCGCGGTGCAAGCGCAAGATGCAAGTCGGGACATCGTCGGCACTGAGTGGGGCTTTGCGCCCGAAGAGTCCACCAGAACGATGACTGCAGTCACGCGATCTTCCCCGCCCGCCGGCACCCATATTCTCCTCCCTGCTCCTCGCACGGACCGACGTCGCTCAGCATTGACAAGTTCTGGCAGACAATCCGGTGAGAGGGTCTATGCCGACAGGAGAAGAGTCTCTTTCCGCTCTCCAGGTCAACAGTCGAATTTGCCATCGGAAGCTTCCAGGGATGAAGAATTGAGGTCCAGCGTGAGAGGAGCTGCCAGGTACTCTGGATCCCTTGCCGGTCCATCCCTCGCGCCACAAACAGTGCCAGAGTCTGACCAAACGACTGGACAGGCAGAAACTGCTCTGCAAGCTGCGCTGAGAAGAGCACGGAACGATTTTCCACGTTTGTACGACCTAGCAGAAGCAGGCAGGTCCTCGCAGATCGGCCTGAGACTTGTGCCACCCGAACTCAACACCACCTTGTACGGGTCAGATGCCGTGCGCGCCGTACGCGCTGCAGCCATCGACGCTGAGCGCCATATTGAAGACATACTGGCGCAATTGAGCCAGCCTTTGCAGGGTCACGGCGCAGGTGCGCCGTTCAGGATTCATCGCCGACAGCTCGATCAGCACGTAGCATCGGCATGCCGTGCTGTACGTGAAGAGCTTGAACGGTGTTCCGCAGAGGCATTGCGCAATCACCTGTTGAATCCCTACAACTTGGCATACTTGATGTCAACTCAAGTCGTCCGTCTTGCTGAGGAGACTTTGCGCGCATACACCCCAATGTGGGGCTGGTACGAATTGTTCCGTTATTGGCGATTCGTCCTTGAGCAACGTGTATCCCTTCTTCGACTATGGATCTCCACTGTTGATCGCGAAAGCTGGAGACAAAATGCCCACGGAATCGTGCTGCTGACGGGCGGCGTTGGCTTGGTGCAGGGCAGTCTGCTCGAAATGGAGTCAGCAATAGGCGTTCAACCCGACCTAATTTAGGGACGTTTGAGCCAACGACTCCCACATCCGTGGAAATCAGCGCAGCTCTTTCCTTAAATCGTGGCGCTAGCACTCATCTTTCCTCGCATGTCTTGCCTAGTACTCGCAAAATCCGACTGCTCCTCCGCAGTGCTTATCACACTTCTCTAGTCCAAATTCTGAGTGACATTAGACAGCTTCTACCCTACATACAGTCAACTGCAATGCACATCGTTCCTACCAGGTAGTCTTTCGGTACCCTTCAAGCCAAGCGTCGTTGTTGATAAGGTCGGAGGCTCGTTCTGCCATCATGAGCACTGTTATCATCGGGTTGACCGTGGGCAACAAAGGCATGAGGCTGGCGTCGCATACACGCAAGCCTTTCAAGCCTACCACTCTCAGATCAGCCTCGTTGACGACTACGAGTGGGTCGGTCGTGGATGGCGTGCCCATCCGACAGGTTCCTGCGGGATGGGCTCAGGTGTGAGCGCCGCAACCCAACTGCCACAGGCCTACCACGCGGATCTTACCTGCTGGGTGGTACACGGTATGTGCTGCGCGTCGTGCGTACTCGCTAATCTCCTCATCAGTCTGTACGTTAGGTCCAGGTGCCACTTCCTTGACGATGTGTTGAGAGAAGGGCGCACTCTTTGCGATCTTACGTGCCAGATGAATTCCCTGAACAAGGACCTTTGCGTCGTAATCATTAGCATCTTCAAAGTACCGGAAGTTCAACAGCGGTTTCTCGGCAGGATTGTTGGAAGCTAAGCTCAGCTTTCCTTTGGCCTGAGAACGTGGGATGTTGGGCGTCATGCAGATCGCATTCTTTGGACGCTCGTAGCTGATGATGCGATCCAGGCACTGCCAAGTCAGCTCGATCATAGATCGGTCACCAAATCTGGCCAGAGGACTCACCCCATGCGTTCTGTGTTGTCGGCAAAGGGCACTTGATATATCTGTCGTTGGTGGGAAAGGCATCATGAGGATGCTAATTGCTGGCGACGGCCGAATTTGTGCAAACTTACGTGAAACATGAGGTCAGGGATTTTGCTCATCTCCTGCTCCATAGCCTTCCATGGCTCAGCCGACGAAGGGAAGATCCTCAAAAAGAGACCCGCATCGGAGCTCATGACTGTCTCTGGCGGAGTGTGCCGCGTCTCCGCCATCCAGATGCTTTCAGGGTGATCCACTAGATTTTCCCCGACTCCCGGGAGATCGTGGTGGACTGGCACCCCAACTTTTTCGAGCTCTGCTTTGGGCCCGACGCCGCTGAGCAAAAGCAAGCGTGGAGTGTCGATAGCGCCGGCTGCCAGTACGACCTCGCGCCTTGCAGTGATGGTCTTCTCGAGGCCGTACTTGGTACGTACCGCAACCCCCCGAGCCCGCAGAGAATCGTGCTCGTCCCAGACTAGATTTCTAGCCCAAGTCTCGAGGAAGAGGTGCAGGTTGTTGCGTCTCTGCGGGCTGTGGGGCATGATTGGGTGAAGGTAGGCGGTCGATGCGCTGCTCCTGTGGCCGTTATGAGGATCGTATGAGATGTTGAAGAAGCCCACTCCGGAAGAGAAGCCACCCTTGTGAACGATTTGGGCGTTGAAATCGTCGATGACCGGCGCGCCTGTCGCTGAGCTTGCTGCGGAAACCCAGTCGCGCACAACATTGTTCCTTTGTTGATGAGCGACAGGTAGCGTATTGAGCTTCAGGCGATCTCCATAAGGCTGTATTGTCTTGCTGTCCCAAGAAGGGCAACCAAACTCCTTTGCCCAAAGATCCAGATCCTCGTTGAATGGCCGGAAGCTGATGAGCGTGTTGTGGCTCGAGCTAGGAGACAATTTCTGCGGGCGCATGAGCGACGCCTCTCGCCCAACAATTTGAAGGGAAGCGGAACTCACCAACCGCCCAAGACACGGGCACGACTGTGCCTGATGTGCGAGTTGCCCCTTGGCTGCTCCGTCGTTGGGTAGTCGTAATCCAGCTCAGAGCCGAGCAGCTCTAGCCAGCGAGAGAGATCCAACACGCTGAGGCAAGGAGACGACAGCATTTAGCCAGAGCCCACCTGCACTCTAAGGCGCTGAAGAGCTCCTTGCACTTTATTCATGCACTCACACGTCAAGACCGACATCACTAGGTCCTCCTTCTATCACGGCTACTGTCGCACCGCTGTCTTGTGTGAGCCTATTGGCTAGAACAGCGCCAGCGGTACTGCACAGGATGAACGGAATGAACTGGTCAGCCTAAAGTCAGACAGAGGGTGGAACGCAGGGACACCTGACTACCTCACCCGCCGCCGACCTGCATCGGAGAGATGAGATTGAAGTGAAGGCAGTGCGTCAGAATGATGTAAGATGGATATGTGAGGCGCTAAGCCGGCTGCCAGTGGCCGCGCTGCACTCACGATGACATAGTCGAACTCAGTCTGGCCCTGAGGTAGCAGATGGGAAGCCAAAGATGCGAGGCGCTCGCGCGCCGTGGGAGCAGCTTTGGAGGTCGAGCCTACTTTGGGGGCTGGCTCAGTGGTCTGGCCATGGACCGCACCTTGGTCGTTCTTGGGATGAGCGCCAGTCATACTGAGTTGTACGGGCAGGGAGTGAAGCAGCAAAGACACTGGACGAAGTTCTGCAAAGGGAGGTGCGAAGCAGTGTGATGAGGTGGTGTTGAAGGCAGAGCGACGAACGAGAATAATTGGACACTAGCTCTTATATGTAGAAGAGGCACGATGGAAAAAGCAAAAAAAAAACAGTTGGGATCACCTCTGCGTCTCCGTTTTCGCAGCCACCTACTGTATCTCACAGCCACTCGAAGCCAGCAGCCCTTCGTGCGTGGTGGTTCCTGCATGCATAAGCACCACGTTTGCACATCTCGCAAGCGTCCTGCGTAACAAGAAAGCCACGGAAAGGGCGGGCGGATATACTCACTGACTAGCCTTGACTCGTGACTACGACTCGATGACTGCTGTAGGGGTACGTATGCGTGTGATGAGGGCCCATATGTCTTGCATGCAGCTTGTAGAAGACCGCCATATACACAATAGACGCATAGAGAGGAGCCGAGGCCCAAAAGTAGAGCCGCGGCAAAATGAGACAGTCACGTGTCGGAGATGGCGTAAGCGGTCCGCTCTCAACTTCCGACTTGTATTCAAGATACAAGATTGAAATCACAATCGTGAATTGGCTCGCGCCCAAGTCTTGGAGCATGCATATGATTCGTGATGGTGAATGAGTGCACGGATGCGTGGTCAGCCATGCACGCACCAAAGCGAGCAGCGCACATCTGCTGTAAGTGTTGGTTGACACCAGGAGGGAGACACATGCGGGGTGATTGCCGAATACCACCGCCACAGCCTTTGATCACCATCACCTCCCTTTGCGATACATCGCCACACACGCATTTGACCTCCAGCTACGCACGCAAAGTGCACCAGAGTGCTGCGTTCCTTGGATAGCGGTATGCTTTAGGGCTGCTAGGGTGGGCTCAAGAGGCAGGATTGAGTAATATTGATTACAGAGGGCATCAGTACTTACTTGGACAGGCAGCAAGGCACGATGAATGAGGCAGCGAGGAGGGCGCTGCTAGAGAGTGGTGAAGATGAGGCAGTGACGGTCAACCAGAGGGTGAGCATGTTGAAACTTTGAGCATGTATGCACTTGGTGCCGGAACATCGTAATTGACCTCCCACATCCCTATGTTTACAACTAGGCTCTCATTGACAAGGTGAGAGCTGATAGGCTCGGACATGCGCTGAACGGTGGGCTTAGCGTGCCATTTCTCCTGCGTTTCTCATCCCTGATTCAGATTCTCGCACGATATGCAGCCGAGTTCACCATCTTCCGAGAGCTGATTCAGAATGCTGATGATGCAGGCGCCACAACCTGCGAGTTGCGCTTTGAAAGCGCTAAGCACTGTGACGAGCGCGATGCTGCCACGACTCCTTTAAGTGCAGGTGATCCTTTGAGCGTTGCGGAAACGAGGACCGCCGCGAAGCCGAAGTCGCCAGACTTCACTGCAACACTTCGCAACTGGGTCTTTAAGAATGACGGAGCGGTTTTCAATGACCAGGACTGGACCAGACTAAAGGTGAGATGAGGTGAGGTCCGGCATGCCCGGCGATCTAGCACGACTGACATCTATCCGTCGCTATCTCAGCGCATCGCTGAAGGAAACCCGGACGAGTCTAAGATCGGTGCATTTGGTGTGGGCTTCTACAGTCTCTTCAGCGTGTCCGAAGAGCCGCTGGTGGCCTCAGGTGCCGACTTGATGGGCTTCTTCTGGCGGACAGACTCACTCTTCACGCGTCGTGCCAAAGCTCCTACAGTCGAGATGACGGCCGAGGGCAAGCCTTGGACGAGTTTCTATCTGCCTCTGCGCGAGCCAGCGCCCTTGGCCGACTCGGTGCTTGATTTGACTCGCTTCTTGGCCACCAGCTTGACATTTACGACGCGGGTACGCAATCTCGATCTTTACTGGGATGATGTGCCACTCGCACTGCTGTCAAAGCAGCTTAGCAAAGCTCAACCGCTCGCGATGCCCTCGCATCTCAACGCTACCAGCCCGCAGAGGATGATGCGCGCTACGCGTCTGGATGCTACCGGCCTGCAGCTGGACGTCAAGGTCAGCCAAGCGATCTTGAGGCTTGTCAAAGAAGAGCAAGGACTCGCCAGCATCAAGGCAAGTCTTGCCAATGCTTTTACTAAGTCGTCAGGCACTTCGAGTGGTGGCTTTGGGGCGTTACTAGGCGGCATGTTCGGACGCAGCACTGCCAAGGCGAAAGCGGCGGAGGCTAGTGCCGCCGAAGCACTAGCTGCAGAGCAAGCTCAGCAGGCGCTGGAGAAAGCTAAAGCTGCCGATGCAGCTGCTGCTGCCGCTCGCTCCGCCACCGAGCTTGTCGAAGCCTCAATACATATCAGTGTTGCAACTGCTACAATCACAGTCACCGCTGACAAGGCGTTTTCGAAGGAGATTGAGCGGTCCACCAAAAAGCCTCCGCCTCGTGAAACGAAGGTCAGCATCATCAAGCAGAGTCTGGAAGAGCATGACGCCAGTCTGAAAGGCGCCTTGGCCGAGCCGGTTGCAGGCGCCGAAGAGAGTGCAGAAGTCAACAGGACAAGAAGAGGTCTCCGAGAAGTTTTCAAAGGTGTCCTACCAAGCTTGGAAGAGCAGGGATACGTCTTTATCGGCTTCAAGACGTCTCAGTCGAGCGGCTTTGCAGGCAACCTCGCTGCAAGATTCATTCCTACGGTCGAAAGGGAAGCGATCGACTTCATAGATCGCTATTGTGCCATCTGGAACAATGAGCTGCTGGCGATGTGCGGCTATCTCACGCGAGCTACCTACGAAGCCGAGCTTGCGCGCATTGCCACATTTTGGGACTATCAAGTGGGCAACAAGCGACCCAAGGATGACAATTCTGACGCGGCGCGCGCCTTGGACAAGGCATTGCACACCATGCGATACCTAACATTCAAACCCTCTACACCGGCTGCAAGAGTTTCCACGGTTCTGGAGACAAACTTTTTCGCAGCAGCAAGGCAAAACACCCTCACCCTTGCTTCGACTAGAGGAGTCAAGCCTTCTGCGCAGATCAGATTTCCAAATGCTGAACTTGCAGAGTTTGTCAAGGATCTAGCAGTCATCCCTCCTGCGCATATTGAGAAGGCAGACGTCTTCATGCTTGCTGTCAAGACTCGTGGCCTGGCACGCGACATTACCATCGACGACGTCTTCGGTGAGCTCAGCAATCGTGCTCTCTCGCCTCCAGAAATGGTGAGTGGACCAATCCTGGGCCTAGTGTCGTGAACTCAATTGACACTGTGGTCGCCCTTCGCAGGTTGCTGCTCTAAAATGGTGGCTCAGAGTAGCCGCTCACCCATCGTTCGACAGCTCTTTGCAACAACGATTCCTCGATGCTGCCATTGTGTCGTGCCCAGCTACCGAGAAGGCGCAAGAGAAGGCACAGCCCTTAAATGCTGTGGAACACTGGCTGAATCCTCAGAGGATCCCACCAGAAATGAGTTGCCCGCCCTCTTGTCTGGCCTATGAGGTGTCCAAGGAGCTCAGTACGCAGGAACTACTGCGAGTCTTCGGCTGGAAGGAGCTTAACCATGCTGTCTGGCTTCGGTATTTGGTGCGAAGTAGTTCCAGCTCATCCACCTCTGATGAGTCCACCAACTTGCAGCTTTCACCAGAATTTGCGGAGCGTGTGCTGGGCATCTTGGCTCGTGCTTGGGGTCAAATTTCCTCGTCGTTGCAGAAAGAAGTCACGGAAGTGCTTTCGAACGTCACATGCATTCCGACTGCGAAGGGCATGTCCAAGCCTGCTGACGCTTACATGCCGCAAGGTAAGAGTTGCTGACACAAGTGCGTGATTTGCACACACACATGCTGACCCGCGTCGACTTAACCCGTGATCTTCAGTCGTGCTCTTTCCAGATCTGCCCACTGTCGCACTTCCGTCGACACCGGTCAAGGGAAACACGGAAAAACTTTTGCAGGCTCTTGGCGTCAGGTGAGGTCTAGAATTATGGCACTCAATTTTCTTCAGTCTGACTTCATGCTGCTCGTGTCTTGTGCGCAGACGTCACGTGCAGCTGCAACTCGTATTTGACAGACTCGTTGGAGCCGGTGCCTGGGACGTCACACAATTGCTGGCGTACCTCGCAACAAATCGAGATTCGCTCTCCAAGCTAGAGTTGGACCGGCTCAGAAAGACGCCCATGTTTCGCGAAGCACCTAAGAAAGGCGAGACGCAGGGACCGAGACGAACTGCCTCTCAGCTTTACGAGCCGCTTGAAGAGCTAATAGCCTTGGGTCTACCAACGCTCGACTGGCCTGGCAAGTCATGGCGAGCCACTTCCGAGGAGGCCAAGTTCGCCTTCAATCTGGGGCTGCTCAAATTCCCTCCGCCTGAGCAGCTCCTAGAGTTAGCATCGAAGACAAGTGACGATATCGAACGTCGAGAGAAGGCGCTTGCCTACTTTTTCAAGCACTTTGAGCTCGTGTACGCGCCCATCTACTCTAGGGACAGCATGGCCGGCTTCGCATTTGTTCCAGCGCTTCAAGGTGAAGAGCGGACTCCCGTCCTGCTGGGTCCAAATGAAGTTTTCAAAGCCTCTGGCAGCCTCCACCTGGGCCTGGCGATCGTTGACGAGCAGAAATTAGCAAAGAGGGACATTGCCAAACTGGGCTTGCGTGAGCATCCTACGGGCGCTAAAATCCTTCGAGCCTTGCAACAACACCCGCCTATTACGACTACAATACCTCGCGCGAAGCGTATCTTCGAGTACTTGGCCGGGACGAGCGAGCTCTCTGGTGCGCAACTTGCGACTTTGAAGAGCACGCCATTCATCCCAATACTTAAGACCAAGACTCGCGTTGCTGCGCACGAAGAGAAAGCCAAGGCCTCTCCAGATATTTCGCTGCAAGCGCCTTCGGACTGCTACTTTGCATCGGTCGCCGACCCTAGCAGCGGCAGTGAGCCACTGTGGGCCGACGTCTTCTCCTACATAGACTTTGGGCCAGAGACAGTCCCTTTCCTCCGAGCATGTGGTGTCACCGCCCAACCGACCGTGCAGGAGATAGCTGCTCGAGCTGTGCGACAACCTGCCCGCTTTTTCGCCGCAGGCGAAGATGCCTACCTGGGAATACTTCGGTCTATCGCAGCTAGCTGGAATCAGATCAGCCAGCAACTTCGTGCTGAGATGCGCGCCTCGCCCTTCTTGCTCGCTACGAAGCGAGTGGAGAGCACAGCCAAGGCTGATGACGAGAAGGTTGCAGACGAGGATGTAGATGATCTCGACGAGTTGGGCTCTCTAGTCCATCTGAAGGCTGCCAGCGAGATCGTGGTCAATGACGATCCGACGTCATACTTGCTGTTCGGGTCTATGGTCTACTGCGCACCCATGGAAGACGCGTAAGTGTGCTTTGGATGCTTCCCAGGCTCGCTTGCTGCTCACGCTTGCTTTTCGCGCTCCTTCAGCTTGCAAGAACTTTACACTCGGCTGGGTTCTCCTGCTCTGAGCTCGCTCATTGAACAGAAGTGGCGAACCGAAGGTCGCCCGCAGATCAATACGCCTACCACCAAAGCAGTCCGTCAGCGTATCCTTGAGCGCACGCCCCTCTTCTTCTTTGAGCAGCAGCTTGCAAAGTCAGACATTCATCGAGACGTTGAATGGCTGAAGAAGGAGACAAACTTCGAGGTGGTTGAAGTCCCCGCTTTGAGCTCCACCCGAATGCTTCGCTTTCATGGTATCAGTAGTAGCAGGGCGACGGCCTGCACTGCCCTGGCAAGCTCGACGGGCGGCTTGCTGGGTGGCAAATTGATCTTGTATCTGGTCAATGATCCTGATCTATACGAAGTCGCTGAGCACATCACCCGCAACATCATCAACAGGAGGCGCGGTGCTCAGATGGTGCCGCTGTACCACATTTTACTTTCTGCAAGCCTCATGACCCTCAAGCGACGTGGCTTCCACGTCGACAAAATCATTGCTCAGCACAAGGCAGCACAACGCGACCAGCGCGAAGCTATGGCGCGCGAAGAGCGTAAACGCGCAGAGCTGGAAGCTATCGAGCGTTCCAAGGAGCCACCACCTATCAGCGATGCTCAATTTGCTGAGTGGCAGCGTCAAGTACTCGCACGCTTTCCTGACGCGGACCCCCAATACGTGGATAGCCTCTTACGATCTCTCAGGGACGATCACTTGGAACGCGCCGCTTCCGAGATGACCAAGCATGCCTATCCCAAGACGGGACCTGGTTCAAAAATCGGACGAGAATTGAGTGGTTCCAAAGAGATTGATGGTCTAGACGAGAAGTCAGGGTTTGCCGATACGAAGACGCCGGGTGGCGGTGGCATACTCTCAAATTGGCGCAGCAGGCTCTCGACCACTCGACAGCGTGATGGTCCCTCTTCTCTTGCAGCTGGTACCTCGAGTATTGATCCCGGGCCAAGTCTACCCGGTGCTTTCGACTCACTGATAGCCGCCGCTGGACGATCCAGTCAGGGTCAGTCTGGAGTTGGAGGCAGCTTACCTCTCGGCACTGGTGGGCGAAGTGGGAACGCAGAACAACCCTCTGGCTTGGCCGATATTCGCAAAAGCGTTATGCAGGCCATTCACGCCTCACGACCCGAAAATGCACAGAGCATCGAAGCGGAACGACAATCAACGCAGGTCAAAGAAGCAGAGCAAACTTACTGCGATCAAACGACGGGTGCGAATCTCAAGCTCGTTGGTCACGTTGCAGAAACTTCGGTATACCTTTCTCCAGAGCTGGATCCACGACAGACTATGGATCGTAATGGAGCAGCACTCAAACGCTTCATCACACGAGTCCTCAAGCCGGTTGCCGTGGATGTCTTTGGCATTGACCCTCGCGCTATCAGCGTCTTCTGCGACGTAGTTGGCCCTGCGGTAGCGTTCAATCGGGGCGGTCATCTTTTCTTCAATCTTCGCTACTACCTGGCTTGGCACGACGAACAGGTGAAGAATAACAACCTTACGGTGGCGCTCATCAGCACAGCAAGCTCCGTGGCCCATGAAGTCGCTCACAATCTTGTCGCTCAACACGACTCGCAGCACGAGTGGTACATGCAGTCGATTGCGGAAGAATTCTTCCTGCCCATGGCTGCTCTGGTCGCCAAGTGTCAACGGGAGCGACAGCAGCTCATGTCCTAGAGTCTCTTACCCAAATGAAGCGTATCACACCGAGCTCAGCTGTGATCATGCAGACAGACTCTTGCTGGCTTTTGTCTTCCCGACAGTGTCCAAGCGAACACCATTGTATCTCTTCCAGGCTAGCGTCCACATTTGTTTGTATAGATCCAGCTCACCTCTTCAAAGCAATCGCATATCTCTTCTTGCTTTTGTGGTGCGCTTAGTAATCGCAAGCACATCTCAGCTCTTTAATTGCCAACTATTCGACTCGCTTTCAGGGGAGAGTCTTGGCTAAGTCTCAGGTGTCATATTCCACCTTCACGTCCAAAGCCGATCGCCCGCGCCAAAACGTGCAAGTTTCTTGTCTGCTTCAAGGTGCATTGTGTAAGACTATTCGGAAGGTCAGTGGTGCCTCACATCGTGTCGCAAGCCTGAAAGTCACACTTCGAACAGCATGGCGCTGCTTTCTTGATCAAATGCTTGCAGGATTTGATACGAAAGCGAGGGTATAACATAAGGTGACGTTCAGCAGCACCGCTCAAGCGTTGGTAGGATTCGGAACGCCGTTCCAGATCCATGCTAGCCAACCAGCGGGAGGTCCAGCCTTGCTCCAATCTCTAAAGACGGCGCCCAATCCCACATTGAACGTGCCGTTGCCTCTCCAGCCTCTGAGCATCCAAGCGCTCAGACCGCCTCCTATCAGAACCACCGAAAAGTAAAAGGCCCACCGAGTCTTCGTACCACCAAATCCAAGCGCTCCGGTCGAATTGTCTCCGCCCGGTATAGCTCCGCGCGGGTTCAAAGCTGTCGCGCAGACCACCTGAAACAGATCTGCTACTTCCCCCGTTCGGATCGAGATGTTGAGAGGCCCGGCACCATTGCCCAGTCCGGGTATTTTCAAGCCCAGCTTGGAGCAGTACACGTGGGGCTGCACTTCGTGTCGCTGTTGCGCCAAGTCGAGGTCGGCTTTGGTGGCGATGAAAAGAGACGGACACTGCGTGAGGGTTGGATACCTCTGGCGCAAATTGGAAATGTAGGAGAAAGAGTTCGTGTCGGAGCTGTCGTAGACGAACAGGACAATGTCTGCTGCGGACACCTTGGCCGCGTTGCGCAAAGCTTCAGATTCATATCTCGAGCCAAATTCTTGGAGCTGACGAATGAAAAGGAGGAGCAGCGTGCAATGAGCGCACTGATCAGGTCAGGCCTTGACGCGCGCCTCCGACTCACGACGAGATACTTTTCTGCGCCACCCTGCTCGATGCCACAGACGACGCTGCAGCTCCTTCCAGTAGGCTGGTATGTCTCTTCGAAGGCACTACCAACCATATTTCTCAAAATCGAGCTCTTGCCGCTCCCAGCCGCGCCGACCACATAAGCCAGCAAGACATTTCTCTGCAACTTCCCCTTCTTTTTCTTGTCGACTCTGCGCGGATTTGTCAATTGCAGCGCGGTCGTCGTGTCCGCTGGGCGTGCCGAGGCTCCCGAATTCGACTTTGACCTGCCGCCTTTGCCCAGCGAACTGGCACTCGTACTGTTACCCGAGCGCCCAGCCGCAGCCGCCCCTGCACCAGTCCCTCTTGCGGTGGCATTCGAGGAGGGCGATGCGGAGGCCGAAGCGATGAGAGAGGGGTAGCCAAGATAAGCGAGCCAAGCTAATGTAGTCCGCGGCTCCAAAAGTGTGGTCATGCTCCACTGCGCAAGCCAGCCCTGCAGAGTGACCCTGCCAGCTTCGTCGGTGACAGTAGTACCCTGAGGAAAGTCCTGGCTCCAAGGATGAGCTCCCGCAAGATGCGTTTGCGTAGCTGGCACGGTAGAGAAGAGCGCTGACAGCTCTCGCTTCGACAGCGAGCCGTCCCGATCTTTGTCGTGCGCTTCAAAGACGTCCGTCAAGAACTGATAGCCATGCGGGCTAAGCTCCACTGAACAATCGGACGGCACATTGAAAGCGGGCGATACGAAAGACTCTTGCAGAGAGAGGTCCGAGCCGTACCCAAACGTGCGCAGCACTGTCCAAGTCGTTTCCAGCCTTCCTCGCTGAATGAAGAGCGTGTGGAGATACAGAAAGCCAGAGAGCGTAAGGCTGGAATCCCTCAAGTGCGGATGAGGACGCTTTGAAGAGTTGGAAGCCATGGCGTGATTGTGTGGTCCTGCTGTATTATCAGTGGCAGTCCCAGCATCTGAAAAGGACCCAGTGGCTGACAGATCGTCGTAGGGAAACCTGTTTCCAGCAACGGGAGCTTGCAACACCAAATCCTTGATGCCTTCCAGCTCGCTAGCCTGCAACGGCGCGTCGAAGCACTTTCTTTGAAAGTCGTTGAGCTCAGCATCGGATAGCAAGCCATCTTTATCACTGTCGCAGAGTCTGAATATCCGTCTTAGAGCGTCTACGCAGTTGGGCTTGAGCGCGTGTGCCTTGGAGTCGTAGAGCGGCGCAGTCGGGTAGAGCACGGCTTTCTGGGCGAAATAGAAGACCTCGCTGACGTTGAGCGATAGCTTGCTCGAACACTCTACGCAAGTCTCCACCTCCTTGAACTCGCCCATCACCGGCGCCAATTCGGATTCGAGCAACGAATTGGGCAAAGGCGAAGTGCGTTGATCGATCTGATTTCCCACCAGGATGACCGGAACGTTGACGCCTAGTGACCGGATATAGGGCAACCAGTAGGTTGGCAGGCGTTCGAACGTGGATGCGTGCGCTACCGAGTACACCATACAGATGACCGACGCCCTCCGCAATTCCGAATCCAGGTGACCTCGATCTTCAGGTCCAGCTGCAAGAGCGGTGCAAGTATACGAAAGAAGGGTTCAGTTAGAAGATGGCGCATGTCTTCGGCCGTACATATTGGCAGCAGAGCAGGCTGACGCTGATGATGCACGTTCAAATCAGCAGGTGCGTCACCTAGGCGGCACTCACAACAAGTGTCGATGATCTTTGTGCTGACTCCTTCTGGACACACATCGCTGGGCAACGTGATCTCCGGTATCCTCTTCTGTACCCTCTCGACGAATGTTTCCTTGATCAAGCTCGTAATGAGCGTCGATTTGCCTACTCCCGCATCTCCCGCCAAGACGATCCTCACGTCTGACCTCATGGCCGCGTATTTGATGTTCAGGAAGGTGCCGTGAATAGCGCGTCGAATGATGAAGTCGACGCCGTGGTCACAAGACGATGCGGATGAGGTTCACAGTCGTTTCCACCGCCTCAGTCGCACTCAAAGTCGAAGCAGTGACCTGGTATTATCGAAAAGCTGAGAGAGATGAAGTGTGAGTATCTTTACTGGCGGAAGTCCAGTGGTGTGGCCCAAAGAGGATCAGGAAACGAAGAAATGCCAGGCCGGGTGACTACCAGATGTCAGTCACGAGTGCGGGTTTCCAAGAGCGCTTGCGGAATCGCGCGCAAATTACACCACGTGACCATGCGTGTAGACAGCCGCTTGTCCCGGCTTGTGCAAGCCTACTTGACTTTCATGCTTCTGATTCACGATTGTACCCATTCACCGTGAGCACACCATCATCAGATCCCGCCTCCTCACGAATGCAGGTACAGTCAGACGCTCATGATCTCATCTGATGCCTTTCGCAAAGAGATACGACCGCTGGTAGGTACAACACGCTTAAATAAGCAAGATGTACAAAATCGACCCCACGTCTGTTGCTGCATGCTCAAGCCAAATACAGAAGCGCAGAATCACATCATGGTGAAAGGCATCTTGGTACCACCTCCAGCAGCAATAGTGATGACTTTCAACTGGGTAAATTCTCGAATGCCTTCGGCTCCGTTGCTACGGGTCGAAGGTGACAGATGACACCTCATCAGCTGTGCACCCTCAGACGATGTCGATCACCTTTTCTGTTGATGTCTATGACCACTCACAATCTGCCATAGCCACTCGCTTTCACGCCTCCGTGGACCACGTCTTGGGAGTCATGGACGCTGAGCAAAAGGCAGATACGTGTCAGCAAGCATTCGCAAAGGCTTCTTCGCATACAAGAACTCACGTTTGACCATTGATGTGGACAGCACCGCTCTCGATAGCCCTGGCAAGTCGCCACGCTTGAGCGTGATTAGTTGAATAGACGCTCGCCGACAATCCATACTCGGATTCGTTGATGATGTTGAGGACTTCTTCTTCGCTCTTGTAAGGTATGAGAGCCAGGACTACGAACAGAGGGAAGACGTCTGTACATGGGCATCGTGTATCGAGCAACGCTGCATCATCTCAAGACGACTCACGAGGAGCAAAAGCTTCTTCCCGGTACAAACGAGCCTTCTGGCTCACACCTGAGAGGATATGGGGCTGGAACGCGGTCCCGTTGGTCTCTCCAGCCTTTTGCTCGCCAGCGACGAGCTTGGCTCCGTGCTCTTGAGCATCTTTGAGCAAGTCCTGAGCGCGCTCTAGGGATGCCCTATTGAAAAGACCACGCAGCCGGTGCGATTTGTCGTTGCCCAGGTCAGTCGGTTGGTTCGAGGCGCGAATCAAGCCGCTGTTCTCGGATATTAAGGCTGCAATCTTTTGTGATACGGCATCGAGAACGCTCTCGTGAATGAAGACTAATTGAAAAATCGGAAGAGCGTGGCCTTGACGCTTCAGTCTCACATTCTCGCAAAGTCGCGCCACTGTCAACTCACTGTTGGAGGCAGACATGCAGATTTGCCCCTGGTGCAAGAACCCGCCGAAGCTGCAAGGAAGCAAATGAGGAGGCAGGGATGAGCTCTGCAGATGACTGGCGACGTCCCAACCCAGCTGAAGCGTTTCCGCTACGGTCCCGGCGGGGTGCTCACATGACATTGTTTGCAGCTAAATCCAGATCTGCGTTTTCAGTAATGACGATCGGATTCTTTCCTCCCAACTCAAGGGTAAGGGGCTTGAGATACTTTGCAGCTACTTGCGCAATGATACGACCCACGCGCGTGGAACCCGTAAAGTTTATCTGTGGCAGCTTGGCAGTGAGCCTACATTCATTCTTTGTGTGCCTACGGTCCGCGACACAAACTCACCTTTCTGACGAATTCATGACCGATCAGCGCATCAATCACGGAGGGCGCATCCTTCGGGTCGACGTGAAGCACGTTGAGCACGCCCTTTGGCAAGCCTGCGTCGATGAGGACTTGCGCCAGAGCTGTGTGAACGGTGGGACTGTACTCGGACGTCTTCATGATGGCGACGTTGCCTGCTGCTATCGCGCCGATCACTGAGCGCAGACCGAGCACGACCGGTGCATTCCAAGGAGCTAGGGAGTTGGAGAGTATCTTAGTTCACATGAGGTGCAGTTTGGAACGTTATGGAGCATTCACTGACCGATCCCCAGGACACAGCCAAATGGCACGCGCTCCATGATCATCTGCTTGCCGGTAGGATCAGTAGGAGCCGTCTCTAGCGGTTGGAGGATATGCAAACGTGGTAAGGCAAAAAAGCGAGTGCATACAAACAGCTCTCCTGCAGCTCACCTCCTCTCAAGGCCTGATTCATGGCACAGGCAGTTTCCTCGAGCAGGTCGCTGGCGAGCACAGCAATCTCGTAGCCAGCAAATCCAGTGCCCGAGCTAGTCTCTTCCGTCTCCACCCCGATCAATTCCGGAATCCTCTCCTTGAACAAGTGAGAAGCTTTGAGCAGGATAGATCTTCTGGCTGTGACTGGCGTGTCTCTCCACCCTGCAAAGGCCCTCTTGCTGGACGCAACGGCGGCCTCCACGTCCGCGGTCGAGGCCGCATACACCTTCTTCTGCTCTTGTCCCGGTTCGATCAAAGAGGCTACCGAGTAGGTGGAGTTTGTCTCATGAGCCGCATTGTCTGACCCATGATAGGGGGCAAGGCAGGTCAGCGAGGCCATCCGCTCCTATTGCTCGGTCTACACACCAATGATGCATGGTAGGGGCAGGCCTTTGTAAAGTGATGCTGTTGTCATGGTGGCAGCTAGCGGCTCCAGCGTCTGATAGCCCAGATAGGAAGGAAGCTGGAGTGGTGCGCAATAGAGGGAGGGGACTTGAACCACGGTGAGGCAAATACGCTCGGTGTCAGTCACGGCTGACTAGTCCAGGGTTAGCGAGGAGGAGGAGGAGGGTGGGTGGGTGGAAGGGAGCATGCTTATGGAAGGAGGCTGTATATAGAAGTGCGGGGCAGTGTCTGGGACGCATCATGCTCCACTCGTCATCAGCTAGAAAGAAGCGTGCACCTCCGCGGAGAAAGCTGGAAGGCTGACACCAAAGCTGGAAAGAAGTAGCTCTGCATGACGTGGTCGGTCGACTGCCGACAGCCGACAGTCGACAGCCTCTTAGCTCTGACACTCAAAGACTGCGCCGCCAAGCCACACAGTCGTTTGCAGCTGCTGGGGCGGGTGTGTATTTGGGAAGCAGTGGTCAGCACGCACTCGACCAGTCTTGCGCGACCAAGCGCAGTTAGTACATGTGTGTCTGCACCTCCGAGTCAAGGTATAGATGATGAGCGTCTCGATAGAGAGCAGGCATGGAAATCACGGAAGCTGGTTCCTGTGACTTGATTGACTGCGGGACAGGCGCGAAAAGCAATCAAGAATCATCATCATTACACATGCGAGGTTCGTGATCAGTGAGCTGCATGCTGTGCACCGCGGTACAGCTGCAGTACAGCGCGCAACCATCCATTTGCGGGGTTGTTGTCCCGTCCACCCGCAATTGCTGCTGCGCTTTGTGTGTGAACGCACGCTCAACGAAGCGTGCGTGCGTGCGTGCAGAGCAGAGCAGAGCAGAGCAGAGCAGAGCAACCGCAAGCTTTGATTCAGTCACAGGGACTCGAGACTAGTTCTCCGCGAATAATGCGGCAAAGCAATCAACAAATCTCAACGGTCCACTTTCTTGACCTCGACTTCGTGACCAAGCTGCTCCGACTCGGAGTTGCACTCTGACTCGAGCTTCGCCTTGACTTTGATCGAGCATCCTTCTTGATGTTGACCGACCACCGCATTGATCGATGTCTTTCGTGCATGCAATCCAACACAAACACGAGTCACCTAGCTGCCACCAAGTCTCTGGCTCTGGCTGCGCACAGTAACGGTATCGAATTCTCGACACCAGCGCTTGACGAATGTGCCTTCTTGCTCCCACAGATTAAGCAAGCTTCGTTCTCGCTTAAGCTGTTACCGTATCCTGTGCATCTGCACGCCTCGGCGAGAATTGCCCTCGATCGATAGTGACTTTTGCCTCGTCAGCTGGGTCACGTTCGCGCGGAGGTTGCAATTGAAGACTACCTCGATCGATGGCTGCTCTCACGATTGTCCTTCTTCAATGTCCGCGGTCGCTGAAGGAGTCGTGACCGCATGAGTTCCTTAGCTTGAGCCAAGCACAGGCACAACTTCATGCTATCCGTGCTTCCGTGCTTGAGGCTGCCGTGGACACAGCGGCGTGCTCGAGTGTTGAGTACTTTTGAATTTCAAGTCACGAGTGGCGAATCCCGATCGAAGCGAGGTTGCAAGTCCCGTCACGTGATTCAAATTCGAATATTCTCGAGAGACGATGCGCCGGACGCACATGACTCGTGACGCTCCCTGGCCCTCTGAGAGCCAAATTTGATAGCAACAGATGCTCTTGTCCCACCACCACGCCATCGTGCTACCTTCGATCTCGAAGCACATTGACCACGCCAGCAATAGACCTCATTTGAAATATCCCTTCGCAAGAAGCACAACTCCAGCTCAGAGCAAAGATGTCGGACGCACCGCTGTTCGATCCAACATTGAAGAAGAAGAAGGCCAAGAAGCAGCTGGACCTTTCAGAGCTGGACGCATTGGACGATGCTGCTGCTGCTGCTGGAGCAGCAGCTCCGGCTGCTTCTTCCGACGCTTCGGCAGCAGCAGCTCCTGCTGTCAACACCACCAACGACCTGGCTTCGACTGCCGAGGCTGCCCCTGCTGCTCCGTCCGCTGAGGATGAAGATATGTTTGGTGGCTTGAAGAAGAAGAGCAAAAAGAAGAAGGCTATCCCCGCCGATTTGGACTTTGTGAGTCCGATGAGCTTATTGATCAAGGTGATGGTACTCTTTCTGTAGTGCGCGAAAGAATAGATGAGCCATTGGGAGCCTTGCGGTCAACGTGTTGCCCGAAAGGTCATGCAAATGTCGGGCCTCTTTCTTGCAGTTGCACTGCGCTGTCCTTTTTCACAGTTGATTCCTGCACTCTGCGTCAAGCATGGCACTGTAGCGTTTCTTGCTAACACTCGCTTTGCTGCTCACATCGCAGGACGCGCCCGCACCATCAGCTGAGGGAGCACCCCCAACAGAGACGACCACAGCTGCTGATGGCGCCGAGGGCGGCGATCTCGACGTGAGTCCCGCCATTCACAGGGAGAGCGAGCCAAATGTCGCCACGTTCTGCTCTATATCGCGCGCACTGATTTTCTGTCGCACCCATGCTGGCTGCAATCTGCTCAGTTCGGAGACATGAAGAAGAAGCCCAAGAAGTCCAAGAAAGCAGGCTTCGATTTGGAAGCTTTCGAGAAGGAGTTGCAGGATGAGGGCGCGAAGACAGGCGCAGCTGCAGCGGATGGCGCGGATGGGGCTGGCGCTGATGACGAGGATTTGGGCGATGACCCTTTCAAAGCAGAGGATGGAGAGGAAGATGTCGAAGCTCGCGAGGTGGTGGAGACTTGGCACGGCACTGACAGAGACTACACGTACCAAGAGGTAAGTATAGTCGATGAGCCGCAATCTGTATGCCATGCCTGTTCAAGATCACTGACTTCCTCTCTCCTGCATCTTTAGCTGCTCGGTCGTGTGTTCTCCACCCTCAGAGCCCAAAATCCCGCCTTGGCGGGCGAGAAGAAGAAGTACAGCATCGTACCTCCTTCCGTCACGCGTGACGGATCCAAAAAGACCATGTTTGGCAATGTGGTGGAAATTTGCAAGAGAATGCACAGACAGCCAGAGCACGTCATCCAATATCTGCTTTCGGAATTGGGAACGGAAGGATCGGTGGACGGCTCTCAGAGACTCATCATCAAGGGACGTTTCCAGCCCAAGCAGATCGAAAATGTGCTTCGAAGGTACATTCGTGAGTATTTCGGTGTTACGCTCAATTTTTCGAGGTGCCTGTGGCTTGTTGCTAATATGACTGCCTTGCACGCTCGGGCTCGCAGTGGAATACGTGACTTGCAAGACCTGCAAGTCTCCCCGGACCATTTTGAAAAAGGAAAACAGGATCTTCTTCATTGCTTGCGAGGCTTGCGGATCTCAAAGATCCGTCACCACCATCAGATCCGGTTTCCAAGCTCAGACTGGAAAGCGCTCAAAGATGCGTGCTCAAGCCTGATCTGGACCAAATGTTGGCGGTCTTCTGGAAAGAAGAGATTGGGGACACCCGTACGCGACGCTCAGAGTCGAATCGCCTCTTGGCCCCTCGACTGGCCCAATATGTACTGCTCATGACCGAGCTAACACATCGCCATTGCTGTCCCTCCATGCATACATCGAGCGTTCTCTCATTATTTTGCGTTGGAATTTGCGTTCTTTTCTTTTTCCTTGTTTTTTTCCTTTTGACCATTTCAAAACCGAGTACCAAGCTCACCCAACTTCGAGCACACCCATGTTCCTGGTGAAGATGATGTGACCAGGCAAGTGGAAGGTGCACACGATCACGGGGCACTTGCATTGACAAAAGCCCAGACCGGAAATCAGCTCGGCGTGGGATCTGAGCGCCAAGACATTTATTGAAAAGGTAAAGGGTGGTGGAAAAGAAGTGTGATGTGGAAAGGGTAATGAATGAAGCAGGCTAGGTTGTAGAGAGATGAAAGGCCTGCTGATTACCAGAGGTCCGTGGAACGAAATGAAGCTCGAGGGATTTTACAAACGCGATCACGAGCTCTTTGCCTCATTGCGTCTGAAACGAAGCGAGGGGAGCACTGGAGTGCTGCGCTCGATGATCCTTCCGCCCGGTTTCGCACTTTGTTAGGGCTTACGCCTGCATCTTTCAGAGCGCAGCAGCACCTCGACCAGCGATAGGCCTACCGTGCATCGTCGTGTTGCCAGTCGAAGCAGTAGCAGAGCGGGATGTGGAAGACGCATGCGCCGAGCTATTGTTGTTGTTGTTGTTGTTGTTCGCGCTCGCGCTCGTGTTAGCAGCTCCACTTTGCTGTACACCATTGGAAGCTTCGTCGAACGCGCTTGCCCCTCCAGCTGCAGTCACTCCAGCCCCAACACCGCTGGGACCCCTTGCTGCTACGCTTCCAGATCCAAGTCGGCCAGTTTCGAGTTCCTGGAAAGATTCCGGTCTCATTCTCATCCACCTCATCCTCGGACCGGATTTGGCAAGCTCGGATACCCTGAAGCCATAGATTCTGGGTGTGTACAACCGAGAAGCTGGAGTCTTGGTTCCTAGGAGCTTCGGATCCAATGTACCGCCTACAGCCGCATCTGCAGCCTCTCTTGCTCTCTCTTCTGCAGCTTCCGGGCTCGCCGAGCCGCCCACTATGTATTCTGGAGGGCTGCTCTGCGTGTTAAGGCTGAGCTGATTTGATCCTTTGGGCGCGATTGGGCTTGGGGCCATCTCTCTGAAGCTCTGAAAGAGCAAATGAGGAAACGTGGTCCCAAAAAATGCTCCATCCACTCCATGAAATCTGGAGCTGGGTGGACTGTAGTTGTCGATGCAGTTGGGACAGAACAGCTTGACCGTATCTAGGCCGGGCAAGTCGGATCTGCCGCATGGCAGGACAGGGTGCGAATGACAGAATACTCTGGGGCAGTAGCCAAAGTGTCCTGCTTCGTACTTTTCCGCCTGCACGTCGAGAGGTGCACATGTGGCGTAGCAGTCAGCACTACGAGCTGCATGCAACAATGTTTCTTGGAAGTGACTTACCATTTGTGAAAGACCTTGCCTAGTCAGAATGAACCGCTGATGAATGAGCCCATAAAGCAATTCGGCACTAGACTCGACGATGGAGACGTCCGGAATTTTCAAGCTGTCTTCCTCTAGAACGTGGAATGGCGAGGAGTGGTGTGGGGCAAGTGAGCTCATTTCCACATGGCGATCAAAACGCCAAGTATCTAGGTCACTCACGAGGCTCAACATCCAGTATCATTTCGAGCGCCTCCTTGTAGAAAGGAACGAGCGCATTCAAGCCAGTCAGATTGAAATCATCCTCGATAAATTCTTCGGCCACCTCCGCAAAGTACTCGTGGCCAGGCAAGCTGCAGAACCAGCTGATCCAGGTCAGACTATCGGTTGCAGAAGATGTGATGGATTCCGATTCTGGTGAGAGTTGGTAGAGAAAAGCGGAGGTGAGTCAAGAGAGACTTCATAGTCAAGCAGGCGAAAGTTGCTCTATTGCCTTTTCTTTTGCAGAGCGCCAGACGTCACCAGAGGCGGTGAGGACTCATCACAGGAACCTCCCTCGTTTCCTTCCACAGCCTAATGAGGATGGCAGCGCAGGACACACCGCTGCACGATCATTACAGCTCACCATATAGCTCCTCATCTAGACCCAATCGAGCTTCTTCCTCCGCCAGGAGTCTTTCCTCTTCGTTCATCTCCTCTTCCTCTTCCTCAGGCAAGTCATCCACCCCAAGCGCCACCTCATTCGACACCTGATTCTCCTCTCGAGCCAATCCGCTCCTACCCGCACCTGCGCCATTCCCACTTCTACCTCCGTTCTCTGCCCACTCTCCCTGATCGTGCCCTTCTTGGGATCTGTGATTGTCCTGTGATGCTCCGGTCACGCCTTCAGCCCCAACCGACTCTTCCACCAAATCCTCTTCCATAGGGTCCTGTTCCTCTTTGCCTCCTCCTGGACCTGCCACGTGTGCACCCGCTACTTGGGCAGCTGAAGCTCCTCTCGAAGTCGATGCGCCCGCTTTGGATGTCGGCATGGTCGCTGTTGTGCGATGGTACGGGCGCGCTGGCTGGACCCAAGAAGGTGCAAAGGGAAGTGTGCGTGTGCAGCTTGCCGAGAGCTCGGAGGTGGCAGCGAGACCGGGGCACAGGTTCAGACGTGTCCTCGAGCAGATTCGATCCGATCGCACGGTGAGATGCCGAGTCGAACTCAAGCGCTCCAATTCAACCGGCCTTGACTATGTAGCAAAGTGTGTGTGCGCCGCAGAATGCAGGATCAAGTGTGCGCCTTGTATTCGGCGCTGATTCGCCTCAGCGCTTTGAGCGACGTGTTTTTGGTGGCGGGCGGTATCCTGTGGTAGCGCAGCGCGGTGTGTGCAACGAACGAATGTTGGAGAGCCTTGAGTGTACACGCAAGCGGTGTAGGTTGAATGTAGGCACCGTAGAGGAAGGACTTACGAGACAGTCACGAGTCGCTGATGGTAGAGGCGTGGTGAGCGATGGTCGAAGGCACTGTGGGGCGTTACAAGTAAAGAAGCAACAGCCGTCGTGTATTGCGGTAGGCGTGAGTGCACTTAAGATTCTTTCGAGACTTGCATGGCCATCCAGATTCTGAGGTTTGATGACACGACTCACGGCCGACTTTTCTATCAGAATCACGATTACCGCGGTGCTCAAGACCGCAAAGACTCACATCAATAACTCGATCGCGACTCTGCATCCACGACTCACGGCGCGGCTGATCCTGACGCTGCTGATGCACGCTGCACGCTGCTGCTGCATGCATGCTTGCTGACGGCCAGGCAGGTGTCGACCGCAGAGATCCCACCCGCGCGCTCTCAAACGCAAACGCACACCGAGCGCCAACATATGATGATCACGAATCAAACATCAGCCTTGGCCTGCCTAGCGCGCCGCTTACTTGTATATTCACGATTCAACAATTAGAATCATCAGCCTTAATTGATGCCACCTATCTTGTACGTACGCATTCCCAATTTGAATGCACATCCTTGATCCTTGTTTGCTCAACTCACTTTCCACCTTGCATTCTTGATTACATATGGGTTTATCGAGTTATTGAGTGTTTATTCAAATGGAATTTTTGAATGTGAGTCTTGAGAGGTACGTCGCGCAGACACCATCTCTTTCATGATCGTTCGATCACTTTCTCGGTTCCTGAACTCAACACTCTGACTCATCGACGCTTTCCAACTACTTTGCGGTCTTGATCTCACTTTCTTTGCACGACGTCCATCTTCAAAAGGCTCAATAACGACCAGTTGACCGACAGGCAAGCAGGCAGGCATGACTTCGCCTCTTCCCAAGGTATGGTCCTTGTGGATCTGGGACAAGCACTGTACGTTGATCTATCACTCGGATTATGCCAAGTCCTACACTTCCGAAGCTCCATCCACTTCTCGACAAGCGCGATCAGCAGGTCTGACATTGTTGCCCGGTGTTAGTAGGAATGTCCAGTCAGGAGGTGGTGGTGGGGGTGGGACTGCTCAGACGGAGAGTAAAGCTGGGGGTGGTGCTAGTAATTCCAGACTACCTTTGGACGAAGAGGGAAAGCTGGTGTATGGTGTAGTGTTCAGTCTCAGAAATATGGTCAGGAAATTGAATGGTCCGTGAGTACGAAATGGGCAGAAGTGCCTGTCCTCTGGCGTCATAGAGGGCAAGCTCAGGATGGCATGTAACCAGCAGCGATGGTCGTCGATAACTCATAAAGATGAGCGGATTTACTTTGCAGGCAAGAGACATTTAATTCCTACACGACGCAAGCCTACACTCTTTCCCACTATCAACTGCCCACGGGCTACACTCTAGTGCTGATCAGCGATCCGGTCAGCCGACCAGGTCTCAATTCATCGGGCGCAGGTGCAGGCGCAGGAGGTTCGGGTCGTTCGAGCTTGTTACAGATCGCCTCTGGACCTTGGCAAGAATGGGTGGTCAGAAATCCGGCCGTTGCATTGGAAAGAAGCGGGGAAGAGAGGAAGAGAGGAATCGACTCGGAGGGCTTTAGACTGGCTACGGAAAGAGGTGAGGGGCGGCTTGACGATCAAGTGGATTTGGGCGTGCGACCACGTGCGAATGTTGGACTCATCGTTCCGCACATGCACCTCGTCGCTCGCATACAGTGTTCGCCCAGAACAAATTGGCAGCGCCTAGCAATGCGCTGTGAGCGATCAGGATGACGGAAAGCTCACGCGGTGATTGGAAGTGAGGCCCTCGATAAGCGCCCGACGCATCAAATCGCAAGTCGGTAGGAGCGTCGCGCCTGACAGGTGTATGTACAATAGGAAATCCATGCCACAGCATGATCTGCACGTATCCGGCACGAGGATTGCAGACGGTCAAGATTTTGGCTCGATCAAGGAAAGCGCACTTCGCTCCATGCTACAAGGTCGAGGTAGTCTATTCGTCCTTCTTGCCTCCTGCCTTCTCGGCGGCCGTGATGGCAGCCTTGTCCGTGGCAGGGCCAGGCGCTGCCATGCCTAGAGACAAATGGAGGCAGCCAGCAGAATGAGGGTGAGCACACCAGTCGGCTTGTGCGGCATTGTCTTTCTGCAATCCTGGCGGCGGACTCACCGAACATGCCAGGAGGAGCCTTGAAGGGCCTCTTGAGCTCCCCGGTGGCCGGCTGACCCCACAGCCAGATCCTGGCTTCTTTGCTCTCCAGCGCATTCTTGATAGGCAGGATTGATTGGATGACCAGGCTATTCGAAAGGCAAGGCGCAACGTGGGGATGTCGACTTAGCATGGGCAGCATGTAGGACGCGAGAGCAGACAAGCTGCGAGCAAGGCTAGCAACTCACGGGTTGGTGTAGCCCATGTACAAGTGCATGAATCCGACCATGATCGTGCCCATCAATACACCACGTGTAGCCTTGCTGCACTCAGAAAGATCGTACTCCCTATGTGTCGTGGTGACCAGTTCTCCTGGCTCTTGAGACTGCGCAGGGCAAAAGACAAGCGCGATCAGTATGGTACTTTGAGGAGAGTCGGTCATCGCAAGCTTGCATCTTCATGCTTTACATGCAGAGCTAAACCACAGGTGATCCGCGCATCCGACACTCACCATGGGGGACTTTGGATCAACATACTTCAACACTGTAAGATCGTTTGCCTTTTTCACCCGCAGAGAGATGAAGTAGTTGATGAGTACGCAAAAGAGCTGAGCAGCCACGTACGCTGCTCTCGCGTATTGGATGTATTCCGGCTTATCCTGAGGTCCCCAAAAGATAACAACGATCAGCTCACTGTACTCGAGATCATGCGCAGCGCACTCCCTGCACCGCAGGCTCTTGATCAATGCACTCATGTCTCGACTTCGCTTTCGAGCCGAGCCAAGCGCTCATCCGTCGATCCCCCCCCCCCCCCCCCCCCCCCCCCCCCCCCCCCCCCCTCCCCCCTCTATCTCTCCTGCCTCCTCGCATGTGTATCCCCATTTGGCACATCGCCCGACAAGCGCACCACGCCATGGTCTTCACATAGCCAGCCTTGCATCGTTGACTGAAGCAGCATTTGCAGCCTTCTGCCAATCACCTCCCCGACCGGAGCTGGCAACAGTTCCGAAAGGTGCCATACACTCACATCAAAAGGAATACGTTTGGCAACCTGCATGGCGCCAAACATGAACGCGAGCTGTGTTGGACGAGGCAAAGGGACTACCGTGAGCATATTGCGACACGCCCGAGAGCAGCGATGTTCAGGATTGCATCCTGAGATGAGTGCGACTCACGTTCATGACAGCTGCGGACGACATATTGGGCTGTGCTTCCAATGGGTGCGGTCTGGGGTGACGAGTCCGGGAGCTGCTCGAGGAAATGTGCGTCGAACCTCTTGATCGACGCTGTGATGGCTCGGTCAAAGTGTGATGTTTGCTCCAGTAGGAACTCGAGATGGGTACGAAAGAGGGTGAGGATCTGAGCGTAACTCCACAACCGCCGAGAGAACGGAAGAATTCAAACTTGATAGACTTGGTGCGCGGCTGCTTCGCATTGGCGCACGCGCGGATTCTGGAACGTCGCCGACGCTCATCTGCCTGCGCAGTTATCGCTGATCCACAAGACGCGCGGCAACGCACGCACACACGCACGCACGCATGCGTCCAAGCGTTTGGTTGCAACTGCATAGAGCCACGTGGACCCCTGCTAACTTCACGTTGACGACCTTCTGAAGGTAAATCATGGAACAACTTATTAGTCGGAGGATGGGCACAACTTATCGGACTTTGTCAAGTTCACATCGCGAAGTGTCTGCTATGTTACACAAAAGGGAAACGGAATGCGTGTAGGTGACTAAGAAGTAGTACGTGCGCGTGACATCCGGGCGGAGTTGTGATCCACATATTGTGCTGCTAGTTCGGCCTCGACACGTATCCTAAGAAACGTATCTACCAAGGCATTGCCCACCTTTCCTTGGACTGGCGAGACGTGTCCAGACCACAAATCCGCTAGCTTGGTCTTCTAACCGGCGGGTGCCGGTGCAACAGCAGCATCCCCGCTCGGAGTTGAGGTTCGCTCTGCTCTTTCCGCCTCTCTCCTCTCCCTAGCTGCTTCCGGGCCGTCGATCAATTGCACGCTGTGGGGAGGGAATGGGACAGGTCAATTCGTGTTTGCAGCGCAGAAGTAGAAGGCGACAGACGCAAGGCTGGAGCGCCGGTCGAGGCCAAACAAAGACTCTTTCCGCCAGCTCTCGACTTGCTTCTGGGGATGCGCACAATCTCTTCGTATCCGAAGGCATTGCCTTGGCGCATTTGCTACGCCCGTTCCTCGTGATCCCTGAACATCTCGACTACTCACAGAGCGATTGGTGTTTTCAGCAGACTGATGCCTCCGCTACGAACTTCTCGCGGCCAAATGTCGACCAGAAAGTAGTCTGAGAGATTGTGATGTCCTCGCGTGAGCAAGAGGATAGCTCGTCGCATACGTGGGTCATGTGCGCACTCACAGAGATGACCAACAGCTATGCCCATCAAATCACCAACGGCAGCTTTAGGAGAGCCATTGATGAGCCAGCTGAAAGCCACGAGGGCCCATGGTAGATTGGGGGCAGTGATGACCAGGAGACCAAATAGGCTGAGTCTAACGTGTCTGTTTCTCCTGCTCCACACGTAGACCAGTACGAAAGCCAGTGGGCTTCCCAGAAATGGAATGGGCGTGACGAGTGGGCTGAGCAACAAGAGCGCAGCCGAGCAAAAGATCAGCAGCCAAACGTAGTCCGCCTTCTTTTGACCGCTGAAATGGTTTTCCTCCAACATTCTGCTGTATCGCAGAAAGAAGAAGAGGTGGAAAAAGAAATCGATGGAGAGCGGTCCAAAGTAGACAAAGGTGGTGACCAGGCGCCAGAGTTCACCTTTGGAGAAGACGAGGTGAGGAGAGAACCATAGGGCGTAATGCGAGGTGAGATGAATGTGCTCGCATATTGCTAATCCCACCGCGCTGAAAGCCCACAGCCGGGTAATGGGAGGCAGACTATCGAGATCCATGGTGCGATGCAAGTGCGTGTCACCCAGGCTCCTGCCTGCCAAATTTGTGCGCTGTGCGACCAGCTCAGATCGAGTGCCCCAGTATCGGCACAAGACAGCTGCTCCGGACTACTCTGCTAGAGGGCTGAGGAAGGATGCAATCATGTGCACCCCGCTGCACACCTACTTCCTTACAGTTTGGCGCGGGAGCACGGCTCTCATCCAGCTCGCCGGCGATGAGATGGCGGTCGGTGCGAGTAAATGTCACGCTTAGGCTGGCAGCAGGCTACTTGGACATTGACGCCTGTATACGCCAACTACACCAGGTGGATTGGATGTTGGCGCAGATGTAGGACGACGATTGTGAGTCAGTCAATCATCAAGAGTCAAGGTGACGAGGGTCAGATGGGAGGAGCATGCGTTCACGATTTCCAACTCGGGGCACTAGTCCAAGAGCTCCACGTCCGTTGTAAGGTCGTCGAGTGCATGCAACTGATCAATCACGTGATGCGGCGAGCGTACAAGTTCGTTTCGTTGCTGCTGAGGTGTGCGCCTCTCGGCGCTTTTTGAATCGCGAATCATGGCTTTTGCCGGCTCAAATCTACCCATTCACCCCTACTCGACTCTCTCAAGAACTCTTGGTCAAGCTTCGAGCATCAGAAATTGGCTCTTGATTCGTCTTGCAACAGAAACGGTACGCGTGTCAGTTCCTCCTTCGTTGCTGCAGCGTACATCGCGAGCACATCAAGATGCCTCCCACGAAGCGGCCAGCTGACACGCCTGCCCCAGGCGATGAAGCCGCTCGAAGAGTGTCCACCTCGACTCCCAAGTCAGCCGAAATAGCAGCTAAATTGGCCGTTGCACAAGCTAAGATTGCAGCTTTGCGAGGAGGCGCGGGGCTTGGTGCAGCGGCGGGGCCAGCAGCAAATGGCAATGGGAACGGGATCAGACCGCCAGGCCTCCCACCTCAGGGCACGCAGGCACCACCTGTTTTGGATATTGCGGCCATACAGGCGAGAATCAGAGCTGCGAATGCTGCGCGTGCTGCTGCTGCTGGTGGTACCGGTGCAAATGGGGCGGCTCAGGCTGCCGACGTCAGGTCTGGTGTGGCAAGGGTGAGTCAGAGTGTCAGCAGCCTCCAACGAGCCGCAAGTACAGATACTGATCCGCCGCAAGACCTTGGCTTCCCACAGGAAGAGCGACCGACAGGAATTCACCCTCTGCTCATGGCGCGGGCGGGCTCGTCGAGCAATGCGTCTGGTGCTGCCAACGGAGGAAGTGCTGGCGCGTCGAGCTCCACCGCAAGCACTTCACGTAACCCCTACGCTCATCGACAAGCTGGGCAGAACCTCCCCAAATTTAGCAGTGTTGGAGCAAATGCTCGATTGGGCGGCTCTGGTGCGGCAGGCTTCTCTTCGAGCGTCGGCAGCGCACTGAGTTCACTCGATGCCCCGCCAGCAGAGAAGATCAACCCATACATGTCTCATACCCAACCCTCCGACGGAGCAGGCGCAGATTCTGGCCTATCGGCATCTAGAAAGTCGCAGCATCGCCCTTTGACCTTTCATAGGCCAGGAAGGCACATCAAAGAAGCTGAGGAACTTAGGAGGGAACACAAGCTTGAACAGCTTAAGCTAAGGATTCAAGAGTCCACTCGAAAGGCCGGATTGGAGGAGGGCCTCGAAGGGGAAAGAGCCCTGAGGGTGAGTGCCGCATGAGCTTACGACATGGTCGGCTCCGAACCGATCACATCTCGGACGCTTCTACTGATGATCGAAATGTGGTCTTGTGATTCGCTTCGCAGAAAGAACCTCCTCCTGAAGTCGAGTGGTGGGATGCGGCATATCTTCCCGCCTCCTCCTACGACGCAGTGTCACTTTTTCCCAACGACTCTGCCTCTTCATATGGTCTTCCTCCGCCACTTCCGGAAGTGCCAACCAACGATGCCGCTGGCGTGCTGCTGATCGGCGCAGGCACGCCAATCGACTCTTACGTGCAGCATCCCATTCCGATACCAGCTCCCACCGACAAGATCGCAGTCGAAGCGCGAGGAGTGATGTTGACCAAGAAAGAGATGAAGAAGATGCGGAAGCAAAGAAGAGCAGTGACATTGCAAGATCGCAGAGATCGTATCAAGATGGGACTCTTGCCACCTGACCCACCCAAGGTAAAACTGAGCAACCTTATGAGGGTGCTGACGAGCGAAGCGGTTGCTGATCCGACAAAGGTGGAAGCGAAGGTCAGGAGAGAGGTCGCAGCGAGAAAAGAGGCACACGAGAGAGCCAATAAGGAGAGAAAGCTGACAAAGGATGAGAGGTGGCTCAAGGAGGAAGGCAAGAGACAAAAAGACGAGATGAAAGGTGTCTTTGTCAGTGTGTACAAGTAAGTGACGATCTGGCTTCGTGGGGTTGCTTGTTAGTCGAGAAGCAGAATCTGATCCATTCCCTCTTCCCTGCGATGCAGAATCCTGCATCTCGCGTCGCCTTCGCACAAATTCAAAGTGCGAGCCAATGCGAAGCAATTCGGTCTCACGGGGCTTTGCATCTTTCATCCTTCATTCGCGTTGGTGGTAGTGGAAGGAGCAAGCAAAGGGATGAAGGGATACAAGAGGCTGATGACGCATCGTATCAACTGGAACGATCCCGGACGCGTGCGAGGGGAAGAAGCGGACGAAGAGGAGGAGCCGGACGAAGCGCAACATGTTGGCGGCTCGACGCAGCAACATCAACAACAATCACAGCTGGAGGCTATCGACTGGAGCTCGAATTATTGCTCCCTGTTGTTCGAGGGACCCATCAGGGAGAGATTGATCTCAAAAGGCTTCGTTCTAAGGAACGTCGAGTCGGATGCGGAGGCCAAGGAGGTTCTGGGCCCGAGAATGGAAAGCTATTGGGGACTTGCAAAGAGGGAAGGGGCTGTGGAAGGAGACGTCATCTAGCAGGTTGCATGCCGCAACATGCTCGGCTCGACAATCGAATGCCCTTGTTGTGCTATTGAGACGAGTGCCTGGCGTGAAGGCTCTTGGCGGATCGACACCACTAATTCGTACACATCTGAGCGAAATTGGTCCCTCTTGGATCGTGTGCTCGTACCCCCTTTGTGCGCTCAAAATTGGCCCTCACACGCTCGACACCGATTCGTGCGAATGAATGACCGACCGGACGTATGCAGTATTTCAAACGGCTTTCGCATGAACTGCGACCGCTTCGTGAGCCGTGATGCAGAGCTTGGACGTTCTACACAATAATGTCCTCTACTGCGGATGGAAGCCTCCCTTTCCGCTCTTCTTTCCAGTCTTGCCCTCCTTGACGAGCGACTCGAGCAGCTGAGATTCTTTGACAGCTTCCGCCGAAATCTCCCCTGTAGACACCCTAGAATCTCTCCATCCGCTAGAGATGTGCGACAAGGTGTCCAAGCCGACCAGGTCGGCAAGTTCAAATGGTCCCATTGGGTCTGCGCGACGAGGAAAGGAGAATGTGTCAGAGAAGAGAAAGGAGAAAGGAGTGGAGATGCCGGAGCGATTGGACACCGCGTGCTTACATCCGGCGCCAAGCTTCATGGCCGTGTCCACGTCCTCCTTGGTAGCTTCTCCTCTCTCGACCAGGCGAATGGCTTCGAGCATGTATGGAACGAGGAGTCGATTGACGATGAATCTGCATCGAATCGTAGCGCAAAGATGGAATAAATTTCTCGATCATCCGTCCACCTCGGAGCATGCTGCTTCGTGGCGCCATGCGATACATTGCGCAATGCATCGGCTGGACCGCAAACTCACCCGGGAGAATCGACGCAGCTGACGGGAACCTTGCCCATCTTCTTCGCGACGGCAGTCAAGCTCTCAAAAGCGTCTTTAGAGGTCTGGTCTGTCTTGACGATCTCGATGAGCTTCATTTGTGGGACAGGGTTGAACGCGTGGAAACCTTGTGGAAAGGCGCGAAGCGGGACACGCACACCGGCAGGAGCAGTGAGTCAGCCGAGCTGCCGAGAACACTTGCAGTAATGAGACGATGGCGCTCGCATCAAGCATTGACAGCGACCAAAGTCTGCGCTTCCACTTACCGCCAAACAATGCTTTCCTCTCCTCGGAGATGGTCGCAGCGACGTCCTTGATGCTCAAGCTAGAAGTGTTGCTGGCAAAGATAGCGTCCTTGGGAGCCTTGCCATCCAAGAACTTGAACAATTCCTGCTTGATCCCCACATTCTCGATGATGGCTTCGATGACCAGATCCGTCTCCTTGACTGCTCCAGCCCCGTCCGTAGAGACCTTGATGCTATCCACCACCTTTTTCACAGCTTCAGCTTGCTCCTCTGCCGATTTGTCAGCCATGGACTTTTTGAAGATGCGGGTGAGAGACTTGGAGATGATGCTTTGACCGCCGGCTGTGGCTTTCTCGGAAACGTCGGCCAGCGTGACGTTGTAGCCTCCCTTGTGAGCCAAAACTTGGGCAATACCTGCTCCCATGAGACCAGCTCCGAAACTGCACGGATCGAGCGCAGAGTGAGGACGCGCTACTGTTATGAGACCCATTCGCTCGCCCAAGATCGAGAAGGAAGCTGCGCACTCACACGGTCACATTCTGGACTTCCTTTTGAGCTGCGAGGGAGGTGGAGAAGTTTCTCGCAGAGAAGCCAGTAGGCGCTCTAGTAGCAGCAGAACGCAGCACCGAGGTACGCAGTGGGGTTGCGACAGATGAGATCATGACTGACGAGAGGGTTCGATTGCGGTGGAAGAAAGTGTTGGCTGTGTTTGGTGAGCAAGATCAGTGAGCACGACAGACAGCGTTGCGAAATGAACGCTTTTGGCCTATGTTTCTTCGCAGCAGCAGCAGCAGCTGATCTGACTTGACATGGCAGCCCGCTCGAGTCTTGAGTCTGAGTTGGATGGCAGCTGCTGCTGATGAAACGTGATGCCATGGATGCTGCTGCTGCTGCTGCTGCTGCTGCTGCTGCTTGCTGTACGGCTCGATTCAGCGCTGACCGGTCGGCACGCTCGAGTTCCGTCTTGCGAAGTCCGCCTCCACCCGAGCTGCTGCTGCTGCCATCGGGACTGTCGGGGTGCACGGTTGCATGCCCGAGGCCTTGTGCAGCAATCAGCACGAGTCGTGCAGAGAAAGAGTCACGACTCACGATCGAGTAGTAGTCACGAGTAGCGGCCTGATGTGAATAGAGCCATCAGCCACGCTTCGCAATCACACGCGCGGCATATCACCCGCCACACCATCTTTCCTTTCACGATTGATCTCGATTTCTGACCATTGAGCCTTGCTTTGCACACGTGATCTCTCGGCTTTCTTTCCGTCACCGCTGCATATGGCGCCCCGCCCCCGCCTCTGATCCTCTCCTCGCCGCGGTCTGTGCGGCTTCGGTAATCTTTGATTTCTCCACAGCAACTGCACTCACGGAGATTTGCCAACATATGTATGCGGTGTCAGGTGCTGATGGAGCGTAAATTGCTGTGCTCTTGACTGCACAAGCAGCTGCTGCGATGCGCGAAGCCAACATTTCCCCAGTCACAAGTGGAGCCGCACACGACAAGGTGTTGGATCTGTACGCAGAGAGAGAAACAGAGACGTATTGCTTGCAATGCGCCAGACCACGCAAGCATTCAGACACAGCACTTCTCGCGAGATTCAGGCCTTGACGAGCTTTTGAGACCTGCTCCGTCTTGCCTCATGCATCACGGCCCGACCAACCGAGATTTGCGGGAGTAAGAGGTATACACAACAGAGCACATGTGTGCGGGGGGGACGAGGAAGAGAGGACCATCGATGTTGGTTGTGGACACACGCAGGGCGGCTCGAGGTTTCTTAAAAGCTTAGTTAGTCTGACCAGCGCTCACCTCGCTTCCCCACCATCATCATCTCAAATCCTCGTGCCTAAGTCAGAGATTCACCGTTCCTCCGTCCCTCGGCTTCTCACGAGACACCTATCTACCCTCACACCTTCTCACAACATGGCGCCTGCTCTAGACTCGTCTGCTTCGCAGCAGTTCAAGGAAAATCTTACTCTTGTGGTGAGTGACCAAGCGACACTGAGGCGCAATTCTGTTTGCCTCGGTCCTCCCGCTGGCTGGCGCTTAGCGATTTAGCCAGTGCTGACTCTGCGAAATTGCGCTCCGCTTCTCTTTGCTAGGCCACGCACGAGAAGAAGTTGGAGCTGAAGAGGTCCGCTTGCCCCAAGCCCGGCCCAGGTCAAGCCCTTGTGCACGTGCGAGCAACGGGTGTATGCGGGTCAGACGTGCACTTTTGGCAACATGCTGGTCTAGGACCTTGGAAGATTACCGATTGCACAGCTTTGGGTCACGAGTCGGGTGGAGAAGTTGTCGCTGTGGGCGAAGGTGTGACCAACGTGTCCGTGGGGGACAGAGTGGCCATCGAGCCTGGAGTTCCGTGCGGAAAGGCCACTTGCAATTTTTGCTTGACTGGCCAGTACAATCTCTGCCCTACGGTCGATTTCTACAGCGTTCCTCCCAAAGATGGAACGCTGACGCGATACCACGTTCATCCTGCCGGATGGTTGCACAAGGTGCCCAAGAGCATGAAGTGGGCCGAGATTGCTCTGCTCGAACCTCTCAGCGTCTGCCTCAGCGCTACTCTACGCGCCGAACTAAAGCTGGGTCAACCGGTGCTCATCACCGGAGCTGGTCCCATCGGAGTGGTGCAGCTCTTGTGCGCAAAAGCTTCAGGTTGCTCCCCCATCGTCATCACAGATTTGTCCTCTGAGCGTCTAGACTTTGCCAAGAAGCTCGTACCTTCGGTAAACACGTATCAAGTGGACACCAAAAAGGACGCCAAGACTGCTGCTAGAGAGATCGTGGACGTCTTTACCAACGCTGCCGATATGGGCGTTCAAGTGATGCCAGAAGTGACGATGGAGTGCACAGGTGTAGAGTCTTCCATCCACACTGCAGCCTACGCAACCCAATCAGCAGGCCTGGTCTTCATCGTTGGGGTAGGCAAAGATTTCATCCAGGTTCCCTTTATGGAACTCTCCGTTCGACAAATCACAGTCTCTCATCTGTTCAGATACTCCAACACTTGGCCTAGAGCCATCAGGCTCGTCGCTGGTGGCGTCATCGACCTCTTGCCCATCGTCACCAAGACTTTCCCATTGGAGCAGGCAGACGAGGCTGTGAGGCACTCTGCGGACAGGACCAAGTTCTCTGTCAAGACGCTCATTGTGGATGGAGAGGAATAAGGTGCCAAGCGCCCAGCGCGTCGAACAATACACTTCCAAGGTCAACGCTTCACTTTCGTCCGCTGTCGTCTCGTCCCAATGTCCACGCTCCGATCACCTTCAAAGTTCATGCTGCCGACTCGTGCCGCTTTCACGTGCAGTGATCAGTCAAGCCGCGTGTGCAGACGTGCGTACCGATTATGAAGTGTTTCCATTGTGCTAAGAGGATGCAAGAGTATCGAAAGCCACATCGTCGCACCGCTCATCTTGCGAGTTTCTGCTGCGCACTGTGCGCTAGCGATCCATATATCTAAGAGATGGTCGCGTATCACGTCAAACTTCGCTCACTCGACGCGTCTTCTGCTGCGGAAATTATCGCGACCGCCCCGCTGTTCCTCTTGATGCTGCTTCTCAACTCGCCTGCGCCGCCAGAGAGTCTGCATGAGCCTGTACCACTCCATTCGCATCCTCCGTCGTTCTTTGCACTTCTTTCTGTGCATTCTCTTGCGCAAAAGTGGAAGCTGCCGTCGGCAGGGTCTGCACTTGCGCGCCATCCTTCTCTGCGGGCGCCGAGCCTGACCCACCGCCCGAGATGAGAGAGGTGGCTGTGGCAGCGATTGTGCCAGCGGCACCTGCTGCGGCAGCCGCCGCTGCCGTTAGAGCTGACGGGGCACCGTCGCTCAAACCGTCTGCTGCTGCTGCCCGATCGCTCGACTCGAGTGCCGCTTGACCATCGCTGGCCGAGTTGTTTGTCACTTGAGGAGTGGTTGGGCTTGTGGGACCACTGGTCGCAGTGGAGGCTGCGTTCGATGACGATGACCCGCTCGCATTTGGGACCGCCAATCCAGCACCAGCGCCAATAGAGGTCGAAAGTGGGATCGACAACTGCGTTGCAATCGTGCGTTGTGACGGGGTTCTTTGCATGCTGCGAGCACCGGCGGTGAGCACGTCAGCTTCTTGAAGCGGATGCTCTTGACCCAACAGGCGCACTTACCTAATTCTATCTCCTGGTGCGCCAGGTCCCCCGGACGCAGTTACTAGCGGGCTGCTCTGTGTATTTGCATCCCTGAAGCTCGCAGCGCTACTTCCGGCTCCACCAACAAGCATAGCGTTGGCAGAGTTGAGACCGGTAGCGGAAGCAGGAATGCTTTCCTTACCCGTGCGCATAGACGAGTCGCTGCCCCTTCTGCTTTGAGGAGGTAGCGCCTTGACACTAGCATACGTATCGCTAGAGTTCCGACGTTCTCCCATGAGAGACCCGACGATGGATCTTGCACCGCCTAGAGACGGAGCATGAGCATGCCCGTGTCGAGACGATGCAGCGTACCCTGTTCCCGCACCGATCGAGGCAGCTGCGGTGGAGGAAGCGAGCGTCAGGACCGATGCATTGTCAGGCGGGATTGCGCCAGGAGCAGGATTGTTGGAGGGGTGAGGACGCGAGAGTGCTGGGACCGAGATGAATGGCTCTGAAGAAGCAGGCTCGTCTGCCCCTGGTACCGAAATGGAAGGGTCAACGAACGAGATGACCGGGGTTGCGGAGGCGGCACCCGGAGCTGAAGAAGTAGCATCGCCATGCCTGTGAGTAGCAATGCCGGCCAAAGAGGGAGCAGCTGAATATGGTGGCAAAGGCTGGTGTCAGCTCACCCATGGGAGCATCCGCATTGAGGAGACGTCTTCAGTATACTCACCACCATCACGTCCTTCGTAGCTCATCAGCGTAGTCGGCTTTGTGCTTGCACGACTGTGCTTTCCAGTGTCGGCGGTTCTGGCACCCAAAGAGGGCTCATATCCGCTAGCAGAGCTCGACCCATCCTGCGAAGCTGCTGTAGTGGCGGCTTGAGCGGGCAAGACCTCGTCGCTGACAATTGCGCCGCTCGATTGCGGTGCTTCGTCGCCGTCACCGTCTATGTGACCAGAGTATGCGGTCTCGGCCGTCAGCAGCGGCTCGGTTGGAGCTATCGCAGCAGCTGCAGCAGCCGAAGCTGTATTGGGCCCATCAGCAAGTCCAGCTGTAGTCAAATCTTCCAATGGCTTTGCGTCCTCTCGCAGTTGGGGAACCTCTGCTGGAGCGGGCCCTGCATTATTGCTCTGCGGCGCGCTCGCGATGACGTCTGCAGGCCTAAGCGCTTCCAATGTTGGTAAGCCGCCAATCTGAGGCGGAGGGCTGTTTGACCCATCATTTTGAGGCAATTGCAGCGTTCCAGCAAGATCAGGTGCACGAGAGGCATCAAACCCAAGTCCCAGCGCTGCGGCAGGCGAGGAGGGGGTGACGCCTGATTTTTGACCGACGGCAGCACGATCATTGTTGGAGCTCAGTGGAGGCAAGATTGGCGTGGGCGCTGCAGAAGCTTGAGCCGAAGTGTTGCCGCTGTTTCCAAAGAAGCTTCTGCGAGCTTTGGGTGTACCTTGACGAGAGGCCGTCTCACCTTTCGCGCTACCTCTCCTCGATCGACCAGTGCCTTTCTCGTTGCTCTTGTAGTCCGAGACAGTCGGGTCCGGAGCAGCGCCAGATGGCGTGTGGCCGCTGCTCCTGTGACCGTTTGGCAGTCCTTCACCGCCATTCGTAGCCCAAGGGGAACCGTTCTGTGCATTAGGCGTGTCGACGTTGGACCCTTCAACATGACCGCCAGCAACGTCATCCGACGTCCTGCGACCAAACTTTTTCAGAAAGCGCTTAAACTTTGATCCTGATTGATTTGCATCAGCACCACTTGGATCGCTTTGGCTAGGTTGCACTGCTACATTTGAAGACATGTTGAAGTGCTGGTGAGGTCGTATGCAGTTTCAAGTGTGTTGAAAGCAATGGCTGATGTCGTGGATGCGCTGTTGAGCGGCGAAGGCAGTCGATGAATGATACAAGCTGACGAAAGTGTTGGACGTGGTTGAGAGCACTAAGCAGATGCAAGCGCACAGATCGGTCGAGTGTAATCACCAATGTGAATGTGAATGAGCGTGGTCAGAACGCGGGCGTCGCAGTCGATCTTGATGCTGCCAAGGCACCGCCGGACCAGCATGCAGGAAACACAGGAAACAGCGGCAGGCGTGCCGTCATGCGTCTGTGCGCGATCGAGAAGATGCAGCAGCGGGCCTCGTTGCTGCCCTGTGCTGAGGTTCCGCTGACGACTCGATCGCGACTCACACTCAGACTCCTTTTGACTCGTGACTGCTATAGACGTAGGCGCGGCTCTGAAGCCTTCATGTGCACCATCCAACCTTCTCCACAACGACTAGCCGCTTCCTGCCACTCAAGGCTCACCAGTACGTCTTTCAAATCCATCACCAAGCGGTGAGCTCGCGCAACGAGTCAGCAGTGGACAAAGAAGTAACACTCCCTGCCACATGCGCACGAGCTTTGCACATGGGCTGTCCTGTCTGTCTGCGCGGCCCACTTGGTGGGAATCGCCAATACGAAAAGGTGCTTTTAACTGCTGCACGATGACCCGGCCGCATGTTATAGCGGCCGAGATCCCCACACACCGCGGACGCGTGCTCATGCGACTTGGACTGTGACTGATGCGAGTGATCTCAAGACGAGGAGCAAGCTAGCCAAGACTTGAAATCTCGGCTTGCGTGATAGACAATGCATCCTCCGCCTGCTGCCCTTGAACGGCGCCACATGGCACACAGGCATCCTGCAGGTGTCTGACCTCGTCCTGATCTTGCGTCCATTGAACAGCAGAGCACGCTTGTACCTCTTGCGTCTACAGCCCTCATTGTCACGTCCACGTTTCAGTGGTATCACAAGCAAGCAAGGAGCGCAAACGCGAGATTGAACCATGGCATTACACGAGGGCTTCAAGTCGCTGCAGCGGTGACGCTCGGTGAAGAGAGGATGACAGAAGCAATTGCCGAAAGAAGTAAATCGTCTAAACAGATCGAGTGACGCAGTATGCTAGACGGTGACCGAGGGCCTGAAGGGACGAGAGAGAAACGGAGTGCTGCGTACGCGTGCAACAGCACAAATTATGGTCGGGAATTGTCCAAGTCAATTGTCCGAGCCTCTTCATGCGGCCTGGAGATGCCCCACAAGAGTGGATCGATGGTGAGTCAGGGTTAGGGTTAGGGTTTGTTCACTCGAATTTGCCGGGAGCAGGCTTTCCTACGCAGGTCCACTCGTCGGTACGCTTAGAGCGCTTGGCGGTGACCTTGTAAGGAGCAGGGTGGTGCTTCAAGCATTTCTCCAAAGGCACAGTCTGGATGCCAGCTTGTTTGAGATGTTCAAGACCAGCGGGAACGACCTTGTTGACGGTATCCGCGTGTGTCTCGTGGTTCAACATCAACACCTTGTTTGCCTTCTCAATGCTTTGCCAAATTTTGATCGACTCCGCAGGAGGAAGACCGTCACCGTCGCCGTTGTTCGTGTTCCACTGCACCACCTTGTAGTCGTTGTCTTTCATCAACTTCAAAATGCGACGGTTCGTCTCACCGTAGGGAGGGCGCTGCGAGAAGCAAGCGGGAGGGCGGTCAGTCTCGACACTCGACCAACACCGCGAGGATGTTGTACTCACCAAGTAACGGGGCACCACACCTGTCGTCGATGAAGATGCACCGAGGATTTCGTGTCAGCAAGAGTACTAGCAGTCCATCTACCGATGCACATCTCTGGTACACCCACCCAAGATGCGGTAAAGGGCCTCCTCGACGAGGTGCAACTGTTTGAGGATCTGATCATCGCTCGTCGCAGAGGTCAAGTTGGCATGCGACCAAGTGTGAGAGCCGTAGGTAGCGACGCCCAGGTCCCAAGCCTTGCGCATTTGCTGAGGGTAGGGCTTGTCGTAGATGCAACCGAAGTTGTTGCCTGGTGCGCCACAAAGATCGCGAGCAGGATGTTGGATGGCGTCAGAGAAGCCATTTTCGGACAAGCGTCGATAGGAGCACAATCTCACCGTTGACAAAGAAGGTCAGGAATTGGTTCGCATCCTTGAACTTCTGGGCGAGCTTCAGATGGTTTTCGTAGGGTCCATCGTCAAAAGCTGCAAGGCGGAGCGTGGAGTGCAGGACGACGATGAGCAAAGCGCTAAATAAGTGCCTCCTTGCCAGCACTACTGATGCCCGCAATACGTACTGATGGCGACTTTCTTGCCTCCGCACTGTCCGATACCAGGACCATGTCCGTTGACCCAGGTGGCCGCGCCATCGTGAGCGGGGCCTCCGGCGTCGAATTTCTCAGCGCGACGCTCGAGCTCGTTCAGAGGAGCTTCGTCGCTCATATACCTATCCAAAAGGTGTTCGTAGTGCACCTCATAGTCGTTGGGATCACGCTTGGCCAAGTCTTCCCGGACAAATGATGGCAAAGTCGAAAGGACTTCATCGCGGGCCAGCTGGTGGGCGCGCTTGACCAGTGCGTGGCGCTCGGTCCCTGGTCGCTTGATCATGCTGTCGGCAGTTGCTGGCGCAGACGTCACGGCAAAGGCCAGAGCCAGGCCGCCGAGAATAGAAGCAGCACGCATGTTGATCTAGAGATTCAAAGGCAGCTCCTAGGTATTTGTCGGCGCGATGTCGGATGCTTGGAGCGCGGACGAAAGTGCACAGTCAAATACAGGAGGAGGGGTGGCCAAAGGACGGCTGCGAGGACTTGGGGTGAGGGTTCGGAAGGGAGAATTCTGGGATGAGGAGAAAGGATGCTTCGAGTGATGAGCCCGGGGTTGCGCGAGAGGTGGCTACCGAAAGCAGCAGGACGTTTTAAGTTTTCCGTGCTGGTGTTGCGGGTGTGCTCCAGCTAGATGAGCACACGACATGGGCGACGGTAGGCACCTCTTTACATGCTTGCATGGTCGAGTGCCTTGACTGCATCCATGCTTTTCTCCCCGTTGCATGCCATGCCGGTAGCATACGTGCGTGCTGGTGCTGGATCGACTCGGTACACTCACGACTGCGCGTGGCTGCGCGGAGCCGCAGAGGCCGGTCCGAGGTATAATTAGCCCAGTCATTAAGTCTCTCCGTCGTACGTACCTCACACACACAACAACTCATGGACTCTTTTCAAGTCAGAGCTTTGGCTGCACACCTGGCTAGCTCTTGCCTGTAGACTCGTCTATTGGCAGATGGACGCGATGTGCAACATTCTTGACTTTGATGAGAGAGAAAGTGCGCGCAGAGTGACCTTCAGCCTTCTGATTCGAATCGTGTCTCCGCCGTCAATCAGAGCATTCACGCAGGTATGCAGGTATTCCGGTATGTGATTTGATCGTAACGACCGCCGGCGCAGACCGACCGGGGGCTGGCGGGGCCGTTCCGCCTGGTGCTGACTGCTGGCAGCTGGCCTGCACTTCCCTGCTGAAGGCCTGTCTACGGAAAGGAGATTTGTGATCGATCTTCTTTGAGCTCTGACAGCCGCCAGCGCTCTGACTCCGCAAAGCGACCCTGCAGCTGAGTTGAGGGAGTGCATACACCGTGTCGCTCACTCGGCCATCCTACGTACCGTCACGACTGTCGCTATGCGTGCAGTGGCGCTGCATTTGTGATGGTGATTGGCTCGACCTCGGCAATTTGAAGTCCAGCATGGATCAAAATCAAGGGTTTGCAACCCGTGGCAGGCAGCCATGCATGTTTCGGTGATGATCTGAGGTTTTTGGACCACTTTTTCACTCTCATCAAGATCTGCTGGTGCTGCAGTCACGAGTACAAATGAAGTCGTAATCATAAGCCTGAAGTGAGGCATTCCTTCACTGCGAAAGGCTTGCCACTCGAGCATCATCACGACTTTGCAGCTCAAGCAAGCAGATCACCAGGTATGCATGCACCCTTTCCCAGCTGCTGCAGCTTGCATGCATGCAGCAATAGGCGCATCTTCGCGACTGTGTGGCTTCAGCTGAATTCCAATTTTGCATGCGCGGAAGGGAGCAAAGGAAGGTCAAGCAGGGCGCACGACCGAGTTGCCCACTTGAGCACTGACAGGCCAAGTGCAGAGGGCGCCGTGCTACACGTGCAGCGACGAGCTGCTCTATAGCTTTGAAGGGGAAGAACAACACTCAAACCTCGACTCATCACTCGACAATGGTGGACTTGCGACCTTTTTGAACGTGACTTTCGACTGCAGAAAGAAGAACATCACGAACGCTCATGTTTGATCTGCTCGTTCTTGGCGAGATGGCAGATCGCATTTGCGCTGAAGGACGGACCTGCTGCTGCATGACCGCGCG